TAACTCGAAAATTGCATTATTTATCACAATTGTTTTATATTATATTCTTTATTATATAACTATTATTGCAGACATTATTAATATGCTGTTAAAGGGACAGTTCGCCCAAAAAAAAAAAAACATGTTATAATTTACTCACCCTTCACTTGTTCAAAACCTAATTAAGTTTCTGTCTTCTGTTGAACAGAAAAGAAGATATTTCGAAGAATGCTGCTGGCTGGCACTCATTGACTTCCATAGTAATTTATTTCCTACTACGGCAGTAAACGGGTCCTAGCAGTCAAACTTAATATTTCATTAAAGGTAAAGGTTTTCATTGAGGTCACTTTCATCTATCGGTTTACTGTCTCTTTATGAGTTCACTAGAGTTAGTATTAATAAGAAGATATTTTGAAGAATGCTGGTGCCTGACTTCTATAGTAATTAATTTCCTACTATGGAAGTTAAAAGGTCCTAGTAATCAAATTTTGTGTTCATAAAGGTTTAAACTGCATGAGGGAGAGTAAATAATGAGGTCATTTTCATTTTTGGGTTTACTGTCTCTTTAGGAGATCACTATAGTTAGGACTAATAAGAAGATATTTTGAAGAATGCTGGTGGTTGGCACCCATTCTATTCCATAGTACTTTTTTCCCAACCAGCCAACTTTTGTCTTCGAACATCTGGGAGAGCAGGTGGAGGGCTTATTTAATTTAATTAATTAATTTGTTATTAAATAACTACTACTGATGTTGCTAACACTGCCATTCAAATCCCACATCAACCACCTGCACAGAAATCAACAGCGCAACCGGGTTTTAACCAGGGTGCGAATAATACATTAATACTAATTTATACATACTATCTTAAAGAGATAGTTCAACCAAAAATAAAGCTTATTCTTTCTTATCAGAAGGGTCATCTTTTTACACTAATGTTAGTTTGTGTAAAACATGCTTCATTGATTCAAAATTATGTATTTACTTCAATGACAACTCATTTATTAATGAAAGGTATGTAACTTTTCAGTGGTTTGACGGACATCTAGTGTATTTGACCTACAGAATCCTCTGATTAGCTGTTCCAGAGGTTACTGTAGGTCAAGCCATACAAACTATGCATCTAATTTGACTTTACTTTTAGGTTATATGCATATACAAACAACTATTTTATGAGAAAAGTGTGTTGTTAACACTTAAGATGTCTATCGGTGCTCTAGATCTGCTGATTTCACATTGTTGATTTTTTTTTTCCTGCATAGACTGATTGAATATGCATTCACAATGGTATGCACCGTTGTAGGGGTGTTCAAATGTCTATGTATATTATATAATACTTTAATTATTAATATTATTATTTAAGATACAGATTTTAAAAAACTATTTCTTACTTTTAAAGGGCTGACCCCCCTCCCCCCATTCATCTTGTTTTGAGGCCCTTCAAGCATTAAATCCACCCCAAACCCCCTGTAACTCACACCCTTGTTATGACATGTTTCCAGATTAAGGTAAAAAAAATGCTTAGAGATTTTAACATTTCATCAATTAAGCGAGGGGATGAGCTTCATACAAGATCTGGCAACTTAACAAACATGGATATAAAGTGATTTTTACATAGCTAGATTAGGCCATACAAATTACGAGAGCTTCCCGGGAGAGATAACGCAATAGCAGGGTGGCACGGAGATGGGGCTAAAATACGAGGAGACTCACAGAAAAAACGGGGGTATTGGCAGGCTTTTGAGTGTTTATGCTACCAGCAACCAGCATTCTTGAAATATCTTTTTTTGTGTTCAGCAGAACTCCTTAAGGTTTAAAACACATGGGGGGAGTAAATGATGAGGCAATTTCCATTTTGGGGTGAACTATAACTTTAAGAAAAACTACAATCTTTAGTAACAGTGGATTCAGTGTTTGAGGTGTATGAGTCGCCCATGTTCTTGTTCCTTATTGGGTTTAGAGCTGGTTTTGGGATGGCATGCGATGTTAAGCAGATACTTCCGTTCAAAGGTTTCAGTTCACTTAGAAATGAATTCTTTTATTCATAAATGATGCATTAAATAAAGCAAAAGTGTCAGTGAAGAAATTTCGGTGACACTTAAACGGAAAGTACAGTTCTTGCTATTAGCAATCAATTAACTAACACTTTTAGCTCAATAAACAACTAATTAACTGCTAATTTTTTAAATAATAAGGTAGGAGTTATTTTTAAATATTGGCCAGGATTAGGAATGTACTGTAGAGTAAGATCCTACTTTAGAAGTACAAGCATTAGGAGGTAATTAATAGTGGTTAATAGTGGAAATTGGTACTCAAACTACTGTAAATAGTTACTGAAATGTCACAAAATATTTCTATTAAAAAAAGCTTTTATTTTGAATAATAATGTTAAAGGGTCATGTGACATGATGATGCCTAATATTCAAATTAAATGTCATCATAAAAAAATATATATTAAAATAGAAAACTTTTATTTTGAATTGTACCATTTTTTCAGCACATTCCCATCACTGTTTTTTTAATCAAATAAATGACTTTTATTTTTTAAAATCTTACAGATCCAACCTTTTAATGTCAGTATATGTTTCTAAAAGGCTTACTTGACATATATATGTGATTACATCATCAAATAAAAGTCCCTATCGGAATAATAAGTTACATTTCATGGACAAGACTGAACAATATCGCCTGATTACTGGTGCTGTCTCATCACTACTAGAAAAGACTGGATTTATGAAAGAACATATTAACCTATGCCCGAAAATGAAAAAGGTCATGATTTGATGTTAAAGTGTCCTTTCGGCAAATCATAATGACTGGAATGGAATCAGCAAGTCATAGAGCACATCATATCCTCTCTTACAACACATGTGTGCGTCTGTATTGACTGACAGTAATGTCTCATGTCATCCCCCATATCCTGTGAGGTCAAAATGTTCAATTATTTGAAGGGTTTTATATTGTGTAATACAGAAATGTCATCGCCTCATGAGTGGGTGTGCAGTCTGAGGATGCAGAAAAATGTGCAGAACGAGATCTGCAAGCTTATTTTCAAAGTGTATTAACAGATTTGTGGTAGACAATCGATTAAAATGCACAATAATTTCAAATCAACTATATTTACATGTACAGATGAAATGATGCAATTTTAAAATGATATTTAAAAATTTTTAAATTTTATTAATTAATTAAATTATTTTTAAAACAATATAAATAATTTAATATTACACATTTGTTTGTTTATTTATTTAAAAAACAATATTTCAAAAAATTGGAAAACTTACAAATTTATTTATTTAAAAACAATATAATTTTTTAAAATAATTACTTATTTTTTATTTATTTTTAAAACAATATAACAAAGAATTATGATTACATATCTAATTACTTTTAAAATGATTAATTACATATATTTATTTATTTAGTTTTAAAATTATATTATAAAACATTTAAATACGTACATATTATTTATTTGGTTTTAAAATGATATATAAAAATGTAAATAACTGCATATTTATTTATTTTTAAAATGATAATATGAAAATTTGCAATAATTACATTTTTTTTTCAAAACAATATTATAAAAAACTAGAAAAATTATATATGTATTTATTTACGATATAACTTTTTAGAATTAATTATATATTTGTTTATTTTTAAAACGATATTACAAAAAAAGAAATACTTGCATATCTAATTATTTATTTGTTAAAAACTACATAAATATTTGAATAATTACATATTTATTTATTTATTTTGAAAACAATAATAAAAAATTTGAAAAAATTACATATTTAAAACTATATTTAAAAAAATTACATATTAATTCATTTTTAAAATGATATTATTAATATGAATAATTACATATTTATTTATTATTTTTATTATATTATAAAACATTTGATTACTTACATATTTATTTATTTATTTGACTTGATTTATAAATAAAAATTGTAACAATAGCTTATTTATTCATTTATAAAATAATATAAAAAATAATAATTACATATATTTTTTAAAATGATAATATAAAACATTTGAATAATTACATATTTATTTATTTATTTGGTTTAAAAATTATATATAAAATTTGGAATAATTACATATTTATTTGTTTATAAAATGATATTTAAAAATTGTATAAATAAATACTTATTTAGTTATTTATTTAATACTTTCCAAAAGCTGTTTTCCTTTTTTATTTATACATATTTTTGGTTATCTAAATATAATTTGAATTTTCAGCTTCATTACTCTAGTCTTCAGTATCATGTGACCCTTCAGAAACTCCTAATTTGATGATTTGCGGCTCAAGAAAAATGCTACAGCGTCATCAATGTTAAAAACAGTTAAATAATGACTTTTATGATACTTTGACGATTAGAAAGTTTAAAAGAACAGCATTTCTGTGAAACAGAAATCTTTGTAACATCGAAAACAGTTTACTGTCACTTATAAGCCATTTAACTTTGCTGAATAAAGTTGATTAGATTTTTAAAGTCAAATATTACACTGGTAGTAGATGCATTTATATTAAAATTATATAACATTCAATATAATACACCCATTTTATGTGCTGTTTAGTTATGAGAATATTGCATCGTTAGCTTAGCAACATGCTAACTCCAAACTACCAAACTCAGTGAGATCTCTCTGTACATGTGACTTTTAGTTTTAAACATAGCAATCTAATATTTAGTATAGTATACCCAATAATTTTAGTGCTATATGGTTATCAGAATATAGCATTGTTAGCTTAGCAACATGCTAACTTCAAACCCAGTGAGTTCTCCGTGTACATGTGGCAATCTTGAAATGACTGGATTATTAATATCAGTCTCTGTGAATGCTGTCAAGACAGATTAACTTGCATTGAACTCTGAGCATTCTTTCAAGGGCTTTCTAGATCACACCCAGATCAACAAAAGCCCGAACTGTTCACACAGCCATTATCTAAGCGAGTTCTTGGTGTTCAGATTCCTGAATGTGTCGAGAATACTGAGAAGTTAATTTTACACTCACTCTAAGCTTGATTTCTTCTTGCGCTTTATAATGCAAGCGATGATGATTATAGCCACAATCACACCAATCACAATTCCAGCGATCGCTCCTCCAGACAGACCGGTGTCTTCTTTACCGTCCGCTGAAAAAACAGGATGAGCTGTTTAGCGCATGATAGACTAAAATAGACAAAATTACACCCGATAAACAAATAAACACCACAAGAATAAAATATTGACTAATACAAAATAATAATGAATAAAACATATATCATGCAACCCTATTGTCAAGTCAATATAATGCAACTTTATTGTCGCGACCCGCTTTTTAAGACCTCAAAACTCTCATTTATTTCTGGCAACGATTAATCTCCAACCTTAGAATTAAAACAGCGTCATATTTACTTGTCACTGCGAGTTTGTGTGTCGTTTTGTCCATCTTTCCTGTGATGTTGTTGAATGCTTCACAAGTGTAAATGCCGCTGTCTCTATCTTTGGCCCTTTTTACAACGTAAACCTGTTGGCTGCTGTTCAGTGCTGTGCCGTTGAGTTTCCATGTATATGTGCTTGGAGGGACAGACTCTGCAGTGCAGGATAATTCCACATCGTCTTCAAACTTCACCGCATGCTTGCCTTGAACCGCCACCTTTTCTGGACCGTCTGAATCACATCAGAGACATTTACATTAGAGTAATGCAAATAAACTGTCCATAACAGACACAAGCATAGTGGAAAGCACCACCATTCGCAAACAAGATATGGCTAATGTTTAGACAAGACAACAAAAGAAATGAGATACACAAATCAGTATGTCCTTGGCAGACAGGATAGGCATCCGTGACCTCGGAAATAAAATAATGTGGAAAGTGAGAAAAATAAAATAAAATACTGAGGAAATCTTAGGAAAATCTTAATTAATATATTTGCTGGAGAATTGGTATTTCAGTGAACAGAAAAGGAATCTAAAAAACATACCATTATTTAATATATATTTTTTAAAGAAGGTAATTGTGTAAAATTATTTACAATTAATTTAAAATTAATTATCTTTAATATAAATTAAATTGCAAAGCAATTGCATAAATTCTGTAGGTAAAAACAATATATGAGCAAAAAGTTTTTGAAATTAAATAAAAACCATAAAGCTGTCATTTTTGTTAAATAAAACACATGCTAAAATAACAAAATAAAAACAATTCAAAACAAAAATAAAATACAACAGCTTGCACCTATTTTATTTCAGCCAGCTTGAAGATATTTACACAAAGGCAAAGTAAATAAAAACCATAAAGCTAGTAATTTTTGTTAAATGATATACATGCTAAAATAATAAATAAAAAAGTAAAATAAAACAAAAACTAAATTAAACGAAGCAAAACAAAAATAAAAAGAAAAAAAACAAAATAAATAAAAACAAAACAAAAATAAAACAAAAAATAATAAAACGAAATAAAATAAAAACAGCATGCACCTTTTTTTAAGCCAGATGTCAGGGAAATATTTTAGCATATAATTATTATTAGTTTAATTTGATTAGTTAACTAACATTAAAAGAAGATTCATAAAAACAAAATGGGCATATTTACAAAAAGGAAAAAAGAAAAATGTGATTTTTTGAAAATAAATAAAAACCATAAAACTGAAGTCATTTTTGTTCAATGAAATACATGCTAAAATCATAAAATAAAAATAAAATAAAACAAAAATAATAAAAAAATACAATAAATTAAATGACATAAAACACAGTAAAATAAAACAGCCTACACCTATTTTATTTCAGCTAGCTGTCAAGGAAATGTTTCAGCATATAATTAGTTATTAGTTTAACTTAAAAGCAAAGATTTATAAAAACTAAATGGGCATATTTACAAAAAGGAAAAAAGGAAAATGTGATTTTTGAAAATAAATAAAAACTATAAAGCTAAATTTATTTTTGTCAAATGAATAATAAAATAATAAAATAAATCAATAAAAATAAATAATAAATAAAATAAAAAAAACTATAAAGCTAAAGTTATTTTTGTTAAATGAATAATAAAATAATAAAATACAATTAAATAAAACATAACGAAAATAAAATACAATAAAAATAAATAAGCTTGCACCTATTTTATTTCAGCCAGCTGTCAATGAAATATTTTAGAAATATATATTTTATAATTTTAATGTTTTATAATTTTTAAAACTGAAATTAAAAGCAAAGATTTATAAAAATTATTTTACAATTATATTTACAAAAACACAAAAACAACAAGCTTTTACATTTAAAATAAAAACAGAGAAGACACAAACAAAAATGTATTTGAATTATTACTAAACTAAAATTGTCAGTCGATGTAACTAAAATGTCATCAAAAAATACACTTTCATTCATCCTTTTTTACTTTTGTAAATTTAACAAGCCTGTTTACTACTTTAAATCGTTTCTATGCCCTTTTTTCAGTGCATCCTCTCAGTGCTGAGTACAAAAAAGTATTATCTATATATATATTATTACTTATCTATCTACTGTATATATCTATATCTATCAATTTATCGATTTATCAATTAGATCTGGTTGAGACACAGTGAAGTATAAAAAAATATTACATCATTTAAAAAATAAACTCCATGCTCTGCTATGCTCAAATTTTCCGACACCTGAACCTTTATCTAAATACTCTTTAAACCCAGTTGTCAAACACTCACTCAAAATATGGGCACAATTTAGAAGAAGTTTTGCACTTAAAGGACTATCAGCCTATGCCCCCATAGCAAGAAATCATATGTTCACCCCCTCTACTATAGACAAAACTTTTGACATCTGGTCTATGAAAGGTCTTAAGATATTAAAAGATATGTTTATTGATGGGCAATTTGCTTCATTCCAACAAGTAAAAGTTAAGTTTCAAATTCCAAATTCCCACTTCTTTAGATACCTCCAGCTGCGAAGTTTTGTGTCCTCCTCAATGAGTCACTATCCCTCACTGCCTCCCCCCTCCCTGCTTGACTCTATTATGGAGCTAAGCCCATACTCAAAAGGACTTATTGGCAAAATATATTCTATAATTAATTCCCACAATCTGGAACCCCTAGTAAAATTAAAAAGAAAATGGGAGGTGGAGCTAGAGATAGAACTATCAGAAGATATGTGGCAATCCGTTTTAGACAATATCCACTCATCTTCAATTTGTTTAAAACATAGAGTTATACAATTTAAAGTAGTACATAGATTACATTGGTCCAAAGTGAAACTAGCCAAATTTAAACCAAATATAGACCCTAACTGTGACCGGTGTAACATTGAGCCAGCTACTTTATCTCATATGTTTTGGGCTTGTTCAAAATTAAAGAAATTCTGGCAGCTAATATTTAAATTCCTCTCGGACGCATTAAATACCTATGTAGAACCTGAGGCCATAATTTCAATTTTTGGAATCACACCACAGTCCTTATGTTTTAACAAAAGCAAGATAAATGTGATTGCCTTTGCTACGCTTTTAGCTAGAAGATTAATATTGCTGAAATGGAAGGAAAAACTTCCTCCAACCTTTAAGCAATGGCTTATGGAACTTCTACACCACCTGACCTTAGAAAAAATACGATACACTCTAGGAGGCTGTACTGATATGTTTTTTCTCACCTGGCAACCTGTTTTAGATCACGTAAAAAAGATGGACCCCTCAGTCATTTTAGAAGAGTAGAACCTTTCCTTGTTTGTTTGTTGTTGTTTTTTTTTTTTTTTCTTCAATTTTTTGTATTTTCTTTTTTCTCCCCTTATTAATGAGAGTAACATATGTTTTACTTATTATTACTATTTATTTGTATTTTTTCTTAATATTATTTTTTTTTTTTTTTCTAGAACCTAAATGTATGTGCGGCAGGTTTTGTTTGTTTGTTGTGTAAAAAAAAAAAAAAAAAATTGAAAAGCTATTTTGTAATGTATGTTTCATATCTAATATGTTCAATAAAAATACTTTTGGAAAAAATAAACGACTAAGTTCATAATAAAAACAACAATTGCTGAAAAACAGATCACTATAAAGAGCATCTAACACTGACACTATCATCCGCAATACTTACAGTTGATCTTTAAATTATAGCTGGCTTCGTCTTTATTCACTTTGTTCCTCAGAAGGCACCTGTATTCGCCTCTGTCCTCCTTAACTACTTTATCAATGCTCACAGATGTCTTGTCAGCTGAGAAAACGATGCGAGAATCAGGATTCAGAGGTTTGCCGTCCTTCACCCATTCCACAGTTTCGGCTCTTCCAGCAGCTGCAAAGCAGGTGAGGTTGACTGTGCTGTTACCAGCGATGAGCAATGATGTGGAGCTGGAGATGTTTGTTCCAGATAAAGACTCTACAGGAAAGAAGACACATCATCAGTGATGCTGTCAGATATGGGTAGATGTTATATCTATTACAAGGTGCGAATGTTAAAAAGCTCCAAATGTTGGTACATCAATGTTGGTACAGTGTAATAAAGATTCCTAAATTTGTTTTGGATGTTAAAAATAGTCAGTGTTAACTCTCCCTTGTTCCTAATCTGTTTGACTTTCTATGTTTTGTTAAATGCAAAAAAAAAAAAAAGATATTTTGAAGAATGTTGGAAACCTGCAACACCTTAAGGTTAAACACCATGATTTAAGTTAGACTGTTTTTAAAGCTAATAAAACAACCACAATTTATTGACAGTTGCATTTTGTTGACAGTGAACAAGTTGACAGATGTCACTGTTGCCATGAAAGCACAGTAGTACTATTACAGGAACAGGTATACTACTTAGAAAGGGCATATCTTTAAGCTATTTGAGCAGACTTTGCTTTTCTAGTGAGCATGTGCACACTGTAAATTTATTATTATTTTTTTCTGTAAAATTGACAGTATTGCTGGCAATTTTAGATGCTAGTAATACTGTAAAATATACGTGCAAATATAAGTGCACTGTAAATTAAGAATTACAATTATGTAAAGCTACAGCTCAGTTGTAATACATTTTGCCAGAAATACTGTAAAAATTGCTATACTGTAAATTTTACAGCATTTTTTACAGTTCTTGCATTGGTAGGTACAATACTGAGTCATTTAGTCAAGCTAGTAGATGCTCTTGTGCTTTGGCCGGTGCAGCAACAAACAGCGGCAAGCTATTGAAATGAATGGGTTTCATAGCACTGTGCTTTCCACATCCAGTGTGAAAGTAGCTTTAAATGAACAATGATTACCGCCGGTGGGAGAGTGAAACTAGTGTGCTGAAAACCACTGGACAGTGTGGCACAACATAGCCTTTTTTTGGCTTTGTTGGCAGTGTTGCCAAGACAGCACAGTAAAACAATTGCATGAACAAGTATACTACTTAGAAACTTCCTATCTGCACGTTATTTGAGTGGCCTTTGCTTTTCTGTTGAAACACTGTGCACACTGTAAAAAATTGCAGTAAAATTTACAGTGTTACTGACAATTCTGGGTGCTAGTAATATTTTCAAATTCACAAGTGCGCTGTAAATTAACAAATACAATTGTGGTGTAAAACTATAGAACAATTGTAATTGTTAATTTACAGTGCACTTGTAAATTTTACAGTATTACTGGCATCCAAAATTGCCAGTAATACTGTACATTTCACAGCAATTTTTACAGTTTTTGCATAGTTACGTACAGAGTAGAATATTGAGTCACTTCGAACTTTAATAAGTTCGCAGATGATCTTGTGCTTTGGTCGGTGCAGCAACAAACCGTGACAAGCCATTGAAATGAATGGGTTTCATAGCGCAGTGCTTTCTGCATCCTGTGTGAAAGCTAATTCAGATGGACAGTGATTACAGCCGGGGGGAGAGTGAAACTAGTGTGCTGAACACCTCTGTACAGTGTGGCACATCATAGCCTTATTTTGGCTTTGTTGGCAGTGAATGAGTGCAAACTCCTCCAGGTCTCAGCTACATTTACAGCATTTGAGGTTAACAATCCTGTGAGGTGCTTTGAAATGTGTGGTTTTTATTCACTGTTTGACGTAATCTCAACTAAAAAATGAAGAAGGTGGGGCATAGATTAGCTCCTCCACTTTTAAAAAAGCAACCAACAGTGTTTTGTTTTATCACCACTCTGCCAATGAGAGTGGTTGAGCTCAAGCGCATCAAATGAGAAGCATTTAAAGAGGACGGGGCATGTCAGATACTAAAATTTGATTGGTCAAGATTTGATGAGAAACGGCAGAAGTGACAAACTACAAGCTTTACATGTTTATATCAGTTTTATATCTCCTAATTGCGAATTTTGTCATCGTTTTAACCCACACTAGCTTATGGATAGCCCTGAAGACTAACATACTGATACTAACATCTAAAAATGCTCACTGGATCTTTAAAGAATTGACAGAAACTCTTAGATGTTTAAAAATTTGAAGAATCTGACATTTTTTACATTCATACACAGCTATATTATGTACTTTGTGAATTTTTTAAACCTTATCGTGTGTATCTCACAGGGTGATTGTTGGCTGATAAGCTGCAAAGTGGACCACAGTGATAATCTCTCAGAGCAGCTTCATTCACCACAGCACTTATGTTTTGACCATCGTCTTTCCTCTAGTTCTGTTTTCTTGTTTTTACAGACATCATTACTGTGGAATGTACCAGTCTGAATCAGACTCTTGCATTCGCCGAATACCTGCCGCTCTATCATTCAGCACACCTTGTCTTCCTCCTCACCATCTGTGTTTTTAGTTTCGAGAAAGACACTTGAAACTGATGAAAATGAACTCCCTTGTTTCAACTTCGACACATGGGAATGAATCCGGGTAACAGATATTATTAGAGGTGTTTTAGCATGGATGGTTTGGAATTGAAATGTGACAATAAAATCAATGGCATATACATACATTATGGACACCATTTTAAAAACAAACCCTACACTGACAAATCCATTGGAGTGAAACCTTAGCCAAGAAGTACCTGCCCAAAATGCATGTGACGTCAGCCAGTTTGTATTCTGCTTTCTTTAGCATAACACACACACACACACACACACACACACACACACACACACACACACACACACACACACACACACACACACACACACACACACACACACACACACAGAAACACCTCAGGGGGGAAGACACTGTTCTTTATAAAAGCCACAGTATCTAAGACCACAGGTTCAAAAGCCATGTAAAATCAATCCCTCAACCAAAGGAAGCAAAACACGACTGAAACTTCTAGCCGTGTGTGCTAACGTTAGCCGAGGCAGACCTCAGAGCAAAGCAGAGGAACAGGTTCATCTTTTTAAAAACAACTTTCATGAAGCCATTTTGAATGCAGACAGACAAACAGCCATTGCTTCATAACGCTCAGGATCCGCATACATGAAGACTGCCCCATTATTTACTTACCCACACGTTTACTCAGAATTGCAGTATTGAAAATCTTGTAACTTGAAGATATAGTTTTATTGAAAACTTCAAATTTATGAGTTTCTTTCTTTGATGGACACAAAAGAAGATATTTTGGAGACCATGCATTTGATGGCAGCCATTTTAGCTACATTTTAGCACTATAGCTACTGTCAACTAACAACACTCAAATGATGTTTGCTGCATGTTCAAACTACTTATTTAAAATAAGCTGAAACAACACAATTCTAAAGTTTGTTCAGGGGCAACTTAATTATTTATTTATTTTTTATTTTCGTTATTATTAGATTTGGGTCAAATGACAATTAGAATAGATGACTGCTCTGTAAATATATTTGAGCTTCTGTTGTTGTTCCATTACACTTCCATGCATTAATCTGCCAACACATAGCACTGATTTCTGACAGCCAAGAGCAGGAGTAAGCAGGACTGGTTCAGTTTTAGTTTCGGTGTTTCTGGAGGGGGTTGGTCTTCCTCAATTGAAATTGCAGTGCTTGGGTTCTCCCTGGGTTGTAATCACCAGCTCCCCACCCCCGACAGTATCATCACGATCTTCTTTCCCCCAAGCAATTGACCCTGCTGACAGTTAGGTTGACCAAAGTGTTTTTAGGCAGCTATAAAAGTCAGCACTCATTTAAAAAAATGGTTTCAAACGGTTTCTTCCATTGAGAGTAAGACAAATGTAGTGGCAACAGATCTGACAGTGTTTGCCCTGCCCACATCCACTGTGATTGGAGGGCTGGTGAGTGAGCTAGGGCTAAAAAGAGCCTCATCAACTTGCTGGTGTTTTATATATTTATTATAATTTTTAACTTAGCATTTACAATGGAAACAACTGAAAGAAATATGCTCAGCTCAATTAAAAAACGGAAATGTCCTCCCATACATTTCGTGGTTCAAATGGCTTAATCTTGGTCAAAATGGCTTAAAAAAAAATGTGTTCAGTCTTTCGAGCCCTGGGTCGTTACACACCAGTGATTTCCTAAAAACAGTTTTGAGAGAAAGAAAAGGGAGAGATATATTATTATAAATGTTAAAGTTGTAAACGTATTACTGCTGAAAAAGACTTTAAACTATAATAAAAGCAGTTTTATATAATATACAAAATATTTGAAGTCTCCAGAAGCCATATGACTGCTTTAGCAGAAAAACCCATTTAAAGGTTCTCCCAAAAATGACAGTTTACACACTATTTACACACTTCTTTATTCTACTGAACACAAAAGGAGATTTTTCAGAGCCCCTAGTTTTTCGCAATTTTGCGAACGCTGAATCCATCGCAAAACGAATAAAAAGTCAAAATTTTTTGTGATCCTGCAAAATTCTTAATTTAAAACGCAAAATAATCACAAAAAAAATCTCATAAAACACCCGATTCTAAACCATATAATCAAATTATATCTATTTCAGTTTGCAATTATTTGTTTTTACATGACTTATAGACGTTGCATACGCAGCACACCTGATGTGTTTGAGTGTCTATCAAAAAAATGATGTCTCACCTGCACCCTCACAATCCTAACTGTGCATTCAAAGCGAAAGTATCGGGAGCGTCAGAAGTAGCTGGTAGTCATTCATTTTCAATGGGTGCCGGGCAGCGATAAGTGCCAGTAGCAGCACAGCAAGTCTTTGCCACTGTGGGCATCGAGAAGAGTTGAAATCAACTCAACTTTATGGTAATGAGCTGTGACGCAGTTCGCCGGCAAGCAATCGGAATGTAGACGTCCAGAGAACACAGTCCTGTGTACTTTGGTTCTGACCACAGGTGTTCCCAAGGGTTTGAATATAGCGGTCGTTGGATTTTCAATTATTTTACGATGTTTTCTTACAGGGACAAAAAGTTACGGGAAAGTAACAGATTTGCATTGATTTTATTTATTTTAGTTTTTTCTCACAAAAAGCGGGATTCTCATGGTAACTATAATGACACTACAAAACAGTATTGGACACATATTGGATAAGTATAACAAAGCCATACTACACACAACAACTTGATCTTCCATAGTTTTGAGAATTGATTAAAAAGCATGTTTTTATGTGGGAATGTAAGTGATTTGCTGATCAATACAAGATCAATATAGCGAATTTTGACGCTCTTGCTTTCGCCACCTTCGGTGTGAATGCACAGTTACATTGTGCGGCCTATGCAGTAAGCAGACTTGGATGAAGCGTCAATCGTGAGTGATTTACATGTAAAGTCAATGCAAAGACGCGATTAGACATCCTGTGGCACAAATCAAGTGAATGACACGGCGCGAATTGGACGTTTCGTGCGTTTCATGCATTTCAGACTGCAAAAGAAATTGGGAACAAACATTTACCAAATGTTGCAGAGAACTCAACTCTGGTAAATGTTGCACATTTACCAGAGTTGCAGAGAGCTAGCCGGCAGCTAGCTCTCTGCAACTCTCACATGGTCGCCCACTGAAGCTAAGCAGGGCTGCGCCCGGTCAGTACCTGGATGGGAGACCACATGGGAAAGCTAGGTTGCTGCCGGAAGTGGTGTTAGTGAGGCCAGCAGGGGGCGCCCAACCTGCGGTCTGTGTGGCTCCTAATGCCCCAGTATAGTAATGGGGACGCTATACTGCTCAGTGAGCGCCGTCTTTCGGATGAGACGTTAAACCGAGGTCCCGACTCTCTGTGGTCGTTAAAAATCCCAGGATGTCCTTCGAAAAGAGTAGGGGTTTAACCCCGGCATCCTGGCCAAATCTGCCCACTGGCCTTTGTCTATCATGGCCTCCTAACCATCCCCATATTCAATTGGCTGCATCACTGTCTCCTCTCCACCAATCAGCTGGTGTGTGGTGTGCGGTCTGGCGCAAAATGGCTGCCGTCGCGTCATCCAGGTGGATGCTGCACACTGGTGGTAGATGAGGAGATTCCCCCCACTGTGTAAAGCGCTTTGAGTGCCCAGAAAAGCGCTATATAAATGTAAGGAATTATTATTATTATTATAAATGGAGCAATGGAACAGACAGAAAAGCAAGCAGCTTACAATGATAAAGACGGTTCAAGGATGACAGCTGCTGGACATGACTGAATTGAAATACATTGTTTTTGCTGGTTTGTATGGCTGTTTTTATAATGCGAGTCAAATCGATAAAGGATTTTGCTAAACGAATAACTCCTTTTTGTGCCAATGACGAGTTTTGGCAATCCATGTTTTAGGTGTATTACGGTAGTGGAAGCCCTAACGCACAGGTGTCAAACTCAGTTCCAAAAGGGCTGCAGCTCTGCACAGTTTAGTTCCAACCCTAATTAAACACACCTGATCAAACTAATTGAGTCCTTCAGGCTTGTTTGAAACCTACAGGTAAGTGTGTTGGAGCAGGGTTGGAACTAAACTGTGCAGGGCTTCGGCCCTCCAGGGATTGAGTTTGACACCCCTGCCCTAACGCATGTCCTGAGTGAAATACATGATGTCCAAATGTTCGGCAAATTTCTGAGAATTTCCACCACAAAATGATTATAGTGATTATTGCGAAAATCACACAAAAAAACCCTGTTGGTCTGATATTTTTAAGATATTGACTTCCATTGCAGAAAAAAAAAATTATACTGTGGAAATCAAAATCTCCTTTCTGCAAAATGATTCTTGTTGTGTTCAGAAGGAAGAAACTCAAAGAGGTTTGAAACAAATAAAGAAGTGGGTAAATTATTTCATTTTTAAGTCAAAATGTTTTAATCCTATAGATTCTTTTAAAATGAAACACTGTCAGAGCACAATAAGGAAGTTAACAATTATTGTGAGTTTACATTTCTACCTGTTTTACCACCTTAAGTAATTCCAGAAGACTTGCAATATAGTGTATGAAGACGCCTCAGTTCCCACTCATTGTAACCGGAAAAGAGCAACCAGCAGAAAATCAGCTTTTTTTTGCCTTCCACGGAACCAAAAAAGTAACGTGAAATGAAATGAAATAACCGATTAAACAGTGACTAAATAAACTGGTCATTCAACATTAAACTCAGAAATCAAACTTTCTTCTAGTTTCTCTTCCATTGTCCTTCTAGGCTGAGTATGTTTGCTTAACTTCCCAGAGTTCTATGATTGTTTTGAGTCCTTATCTCACTTGTTGGCAATGAAGTCACCATGGCAGAGCATGTCTATCTGTGTGCTGCTCCACTGCTAATCCAAAGATTTCAACAGATGTCTTTACTGACTTAAAAAAACAATGGTGTTCCTATACAGCCCCATGCATTCATAGAAATACCACCTCTTAAAGATATAGTTCACCCAAAACCCCCCACAAGACATTTTTCTTTAGTAAGACATTAAAGAAGATTTTTAGCTAAATTCAAAATCCCCGGTGGTTCATGTAATGGCAGTGAATGGAGATGGGGTTTTAAAGGGGACCTATTATGCCCATTTCTACAAGATCTAAAATAAGTCTTTGATGTCCCTAGAGTGTGTATGTAAAGCTTCAGCTCAAAAAAACACACAAATAATGTTTTACAATGCATTGAAACTACCTCTTTTAGGTTTTGATTTGAATTGTGTCATTTTGGCGACTGTCGCTTTAAATTCAAATGAGATTGTGTAATAGAGGAGGCTCATTCTTCATCCTCGTAGTGCAGATGGTCTGTTTAACTGTTTTCTCACTGGTGAAGCGTTCGGTTTTTCATCATAGAAAGTCCACCATGTAAATAGCAAATGCACCATGGCGGGATGCAACTGACTTGCGCAACTGAGTTGAGTCTCTGATTGATTTAATGCATGTTATGCTCAAAACACACCCATAACTCATTAAGAGTATAAGCAAAACCCTGTTAGACCATGCGCTAGGGGGCAGAGCATATTTTTTCGTTCTTAAAATAGCAAAAGTTGATTCGGACACGACCTTAATGCTTTTGCACCATGCACTTTAGACTTTGCGCCTAGACCGTAAAAATAGAGTCCGTAATCTTAATATAGCCTGAATTTGCATTCTCTCAAACTCCTGTAATACAGTGGTATAGCACAACAGAAACAATATACACTTGTTGGAACATTTGGTAGTGTGTGAGATTTCAGGGTTTGGACTTACCTACAACCGTCACAAATGCAACCCGCGAGGCAATGTAGCGCTTGGTCTGTGCATTGTAGGCTACACAGGTATAGTTTCCACTATTTTTTTCCTCTAAGTTGTTGAGAGTGAAGTTGGCTGGGGAAGATACGGCGTTCGAGGGCAGATTCACTCCATTAAACACCCACTGGATCGTAGCAGGTGGGTTCGAATCAGCGGTGCAAGTGAGTGTTAAAGTAGATCCTTTCTTGAGATATGTATCTGTCGGAAACTGATTCATAAGGATGTTCTCAGGGCCGTCTAGACACAGAGGGGGAAAAAAGACGATTAAAAGAAGGTTCAATTTAGTAAATCACAAACTTGTAGCAAACTTCACAATTACAAAGCATCAGCAAATAATATATTAAATGAAGTGTAACATCCTAAAAGGGTCACGAAACCCTTAAACATATTTTTTTAGATGATTACAACAGTTCGGTCTAGTTCTCAAATCTGATTGGCTGATAGTCTTGTGATTTTCTGCAATTAACAGCACTTGTACAGCCTCCTCATCCTTCTGTATTACTCCGCAAACATAGAGTGACAGCAGATCAATAAACTCACTACAGTTTGACAAATATTGCAGCTGTTAGACAACATAATGTACTTTTGAGGCTTTCAGGCGAGAATGTAGTTGTTTAGATTGCAACTATGCAGTTTATTTATAAGGATAGTACCTATTTTAAATACTCATAATTGATTCAGTGTGTTGGCAGCCAGTGTGTCATACAGAGCAGAACAAAGGTGATTGACGTTACGCCACAAGAGAGCTGATAATAACTCCTTATGGAAGAAAAACAACATTTTCTCAGCATAAGTTTCAAACTACAGCTGAACAAAGGTGAGTGACATTTTAAGTCAATCTCTCTCTTGTATGACGTAGTGCTGTATTTATACCATAGTAATCTGGTAGTGTTTGCTTTGCTTTGGCTTTTTCGGGGTTAATTATTGTGAAATCCCGACTGCAAGAGAGAAATACTAGGAAATCTCTGTAGACTGATGACATTTCATGCCGTTTAGCCTTCTATAATCTTATTAATATAATCTTAATATGTGAGCAAAATCATCCCTTTTGTAATCATTTTAGACATTACACTAGAGAATCATTCAAATACTATCTCTAAAGTAAAGTTGGTAAAGTAGCAATGATTTCTGCTGTTCTGACGTTTAAAGTAGAAGAAAGTAGTTCCTCTTACAAATGATTTTTAGACTCAGTGTTTTATTCCCTTTTTATATACACGATTATGCCGTCGAACTGTTGTATAAATGCAATATCACACAAGTAGCAGTGCGTTATGGCTGCGTTATCGTCACTAGTTGGACACTAATGGGGACACAGCCTCAATGCTTGACAGAGGGGTTGTGTCTGAAGTTGGGACTGACGCGATCGTCATAGCAGCAGAAATTAGTCAGCAATTGGCTAGTCTGAGCTGGTGAATTTGCATTCAGGGATCTGATTGGCTGATGCTTCCATCGGCGTTTGAAAAGTTGAGAAAGTCTCAACTTCTGCAGCGAGCAAGCCTCTTGTCAATGGGGCATAATCACTCAGCCTGTGGCCTCGAGCCAACACACGCCTCATATATATGTGCCATGTTGCTCAAAACACTATTAGGACACATATATTTCATTAACAAGTGAAAACGTTGCCATTGTTTACGGCAAATTTATTCTTCCAGTTTTGAAGCAACGTCACAGCGATGAGGTCATTGCATAAATTACTCTACTTAGTATAGTTTGTAGTACTTATAGTGTTTTCTTTTAAGGTATGTTAGCATCATGTGCTTTAATTACACTACAACCTATACAAATAATGTTTTCTGGATTTAAAAAGTAATGTATTTTCCTTTTAAAGGGATAGTTCACCCAAATTTGAAAATTGTGTCACGATTTACTCATCCTTTACTTGCTACAAACCTCTTCAACTTTCTTTAGTCTGCTGAACACTAAAGAAGATATGTTGAAGAAAGCCGAAAACCACTGACCTATATAGTATTTCAGCTTTATTCAAAACATGTTTAGTGTTGTTCAGCAGAATAAAGGTTTGAAACCACTTGAGGGAGAGTAAATAGTGAGTACATCTTCATTTTAGGGTGGACTACCCCTTTATGAAATGCATTTCTAGTTTCTGCAATAAAAGCTCTGCAATGTTAGATTTGCGACACTAATTTACATCCTCCACCTTATCCTAATACTGCTAATATTATCTTCAAATGAGGAGGAAGTGTTTTGATTATCAGGATGTGGTTATACAGTAACTGATGAACTGCATTTTAACCAAAGATGTTTCTAAAAAAAAAAAAAGCAATGATACAGTAGTTTAAGACTTGAGAGACTGTGCTGCAATGTGTTTAAAGTCTGTCTTTCAGTATGGTTTGATCTGTCTGGAATGTAAAAGCACACACAAACACTATTTAAAGACATTTGAAGTTCATAGGCTCAACCGTATTTAATCTAATCTCGGTCTCAATTTTTTTTTTCTTCCTGCACCTGCGCCTGAACCTGTCTGAACTAGAAAGTGGCTTGCGATCTGTGCTGTCATGTGTACTTTCTAGTGTGCACCATCTGCAGAGACAAAGACTGCTGACAGTAAAAACTATTTCAACTTACCTCCAGGAGGTTTAGTACTAGGGCATTGGTAGATTTACTTCAACTATTTGCATGCGTACACTACAGCTTTGTTGTAAAATCAAGTTCACAATGAAACTACTTATTTAAAGGTGCTGTATGTAAGTTTTTGACTCTTCTAAAGAATAAAAATACTATAATATGTTTGCAGATATTTAAGAAATATGCTAAGTAAACATTTTTGTTTATCTGAAAAACAATACTGAAGTCAAACATTCCGCTTTGAAAATGTGCTTTCTGTGCTGGAACGTCTTTGTTTTGTTCCCCGCCCAATGCCAGTTTGGCCAATTATATTTTAGCACCCTGGGTCATTAATTCATCATTAATTCAATCAAGTGATCAATCAATCAATCAATCAATCAATCAACCAATCAATCAATTAATCAATTAATCTATTAATTCACTACTTAATTAATTAACTGAAATTGTGATATTTTAAACTACAAAGCTGTTGTATTGCTTCTAAATAAATGAAAATGAAAACTATCAATGTAAAAAATGCTATCGTTTTTCAAAGTAGGCTTCAACGTGCAACTTTGTGAAACCAATACAGTAACATGTCTTCGTGTGAACCACAAAAAGAGAATTTGCAAATATGTGCATGTATATTTTGTGTTCAGACTAATAATGTGTTTTGGACGACCAAATCCACAAGGGCGTACTAAAGGACTGCAGACTTCAGTTAATATTTCTTGATAAAGTAGCCAGACATCAAAGTCCTCTGCACATAAAAAAGTGAAGGAAAAAACTACATTTTTGCAAGGGATGATAATTTACTCATTATTTAAGCGGGTCGCACACTGGATGCGCCGCTTATCGCCATAACACGGCACATACATGACAGTTGGAAGTATCGCACACCAGACATGCACGTTCACATGTTATTTAGAATGAAACTATTCAGATGGTGCTCTGTGAAATATAAGTCCTGAATCGTAGCTGGGCGCTAAAAACATCCACAGACTTGCGGCGCCGATGTGCCTACCCTGATTGAAATCTATGTTTAGAATTCTAAAATGCATGGCGCTGTGTGGCGCGACGTTTGCATATCCGGTGTGCGTCCCCCTTTACTCATCCTCAAGTAGTTCCAATCCTTTATGAGTTTTCTTATTATGTTGAACACGAAAGAAGATAATTTGTAAAAATGTTAGAAACTTGTAACCATTGACTTTCATAGTATGGGGAAATATACTACTATGAAAGTCAGTGGTTACAGGTTTTCAACATTTTTCTAAATATTTTATTTTGTGTTTAACAGAATAAAACAATTGAAGGATGAGTAAATGATGGCAAAATTAAACATTTTGTGATAACTATCCATTTAATTACACTATACACTGTAAAAATGCTGGGTTCCACACAATCCCTTCATGTTGTCCCAACACAAATGGATTAATTAAAACTTAATAGTTTTTACAAATTTAAGTGAATTGAACATAAAGGGCCCTATCATACACCCGGCGCAGTGTGGCGCAAGACGCGGCGCAATAGTCTTTTGGTAGTTTCAGCTTGGCTCAAGAGTCGTTTTGAGGCATTGCGCTACGCTGTTTAAATAGCAAATGCATTAGCGCTCATTTGTGCGCCCATAGGCGTTCTGGTCTAAAAAGGAAGGCGTTCTGAGGCGGACTGCTGGCACATTGCTATTTTGAGAAACTATAATAGATTTTTCATTAGACCAAAACTAACCGGGTCTAAACTCCGGTGCAGAGTTGCGCCTCGTTTACGCACTGCTTAATACGCACAAGAGAGCAATAGGCAAATATCTTTACATATGAAAAAATTTTAAAAATAAGGATATATATATAGGATATAATAAGAATAGATATAGGATATAAATATAAAGGATTAAAATATTACAAAACATATTATTTTCTAGCCTACATAAATATGAAAAATCACTGCTTTTATGTCTTCTTCATCTCGGGAGGCTTTTTCAGTTCATTCATAACAATTTGCTTTTTTTAAAATGTTATTATTATTAGCAGTATTATTTATTATATCCATATTTATATTTGTTTTATTAAAAACAAGCTTAGATTTGCCCACCTGTCAGGTTTTAGACCATATGGGGCACAGCATGTGTTTTAGGATATAACTCAGGTTTTTGAACACACTTCGTTATTGTTGTTTATTTATTTGTTTGCTGGAAATTAGAACTGAATTTAGAAATAGTTTTTAAACGAATATTTGCGCTTAACAAACGCAATTAATTATTTATAGGCTAATTGATGTCTGTGCGTAAAGGTTTCCCTATCCAAGAGCGAAAGTGAAAGTCATCCATTATCTCTCATTCTCACGCAGTAGATGCTCTGTTTATCAGTTTTCTGTTAAAAAACTGTCAACTGTGAACTGTTTGCTTGTGAAATACTCAGTTTTTCCACTTAGACTTACTTTGCGTCCTGTAAATAGCGAATGCGCTCTTGGCGCGGCGCAGCTGGCTCTTAAGGGGAATGGGAGATGAGACTCTAATTGGTTTATTCTCAAAACACACCTATAACTCATTAAGAAAATAAACTCAACCCTTTTAGCCCATGCGCCTTGGTGCAAAGCGAATTTTCCCATCCGTAAATTAGCAAAAATGCATTCTGACACGCCCTGAAAGCGTTTGCGCCCTGCGCATGGACCGTCAAAATAGAGCCCAAAACGATTAGGTTGTCCCCAAAGAAACAAGAATAGTGTTGATTAAGCTCATTTTAAAAAGGTCAAAATATTTTTTTGAGTGTAGTCATGTACCGTAAATGTATTCTAACAGTATATTGCATGTTCAGTATTTTCATTATAGCTTGAAAGACATGGTGATTGAGATTTCTTGTTGTCTCAATACAAAAAAATGACATAATTAGCGTTTAAAATGACATGAGGGTGAGCAAAGAGCTGAACTGCTCTCTTAAGGCAAAGCAGTGTGTATTCATGTCTCAGACTAAGCACATGTGGGTGTGTTCATATACGTACAGCTCACGGTGAGATTGAACGGCGCGCTCTTTCCCGACTCCAGTGCGTTCTCTGCTATGCAGACAATGGGTCCTTGAAGATCTGTACGACGGACTTCAGAAATCTTTAGCTCATTGCCGACAGCGTTAAGCTGCATGTGTGTGCCATCCACCACCAAAGGAACCGAACCATTTATCCACTTGTATGTAAAGGAGCCTTTAGCAGAGCATGTAAGAACCACTGTGCTGTTGAACTCCACAGGTTCCAGGACATTTGACGATATCTTGACATCGGTTACAGGCTCTGGAGAGAAAAGGAGAGAACAATGGATTGCGTTGCATGCATTTGAACAGGGAGTAAACCCTCAGAGGTGAAATGTCTTGCTCATGGCCATAAAAGCTACAAGTCAGGACTTGCTTCTTGAGGATTCAATCAACAACCTTAGGATAGCCAACACTTGAGATCTAACATCAAACGCTTGCTTTCCAGTTACTAAATGAATGTCTTTGCAATGAGTCATACTGCAGTCAGAATTCACTAACTGAGTCACCAGTACTATCTACTTGGGTTGATTCAATCAGATATATCATCGTTCTCAAATTGAACTCCATATTATAGTGTACATATAGACCATTGCTGCCATGAATGGTGAATAGCAGCTCAATAATGCTTTTAAATATGGATAGTTTACCCCAAAATGAAAATGCACTATTTATTTATCTTCAAGTGGTTCCAAACCTGTACAGACATCCCGAGTTGGGTAAAGTCATTTCCGGGGTATACAGAGTTGATTTGCGGGAGGTAGCGGGATAGTGGGTGCCTGATGAGAGAGAGAGGGGGGGAGGGGAGGGGGGGGAGCTGGTTTAATGAGCGACGTATCTGAGTAGGGGGCGTGTGACGTACCCGAAGAGCTGTGGGAGTTGTGCGCGCGACATGACATACCTGAAGAGCGGTGGGGGTAAGTTGCGCGCGACATACCTGAAGAGCTAGGAGGGATGCGGTGGAGAGAGGGGTGTGCAACGTATTTAAGGACCGGGCGGAAGACACGCGATTTCCGGGAGATTATCATATATTTGCTGCCATCCGGGAGTGTCTATGCATTTGAGGGATACTCCTGCAACTTCCGGGGGTTGGGATGTCTGCCTTTATATTTTTTTCTTAGTATTGTATGAAGATATTTTGAAGAAAGCTGAAAAGCTGTAACCATTGACTTCCATAGAATATGTTTCTGCCATTATGGAAGTCTTCAGGTCTTCAGCTTTCTTCATATTGTCTTCTTTTGTGTTTTAAACTCATAAAGGTTTGGAGCAAGTAAAATGATGACAGAATTTTGACTTTTGGGTGAACTATTCCTTTAAGAAGTTTGTTCAAGACTTAATTATCCAGTAACGAATGCAATTTACTTACCAAGAACCTCAAGATCAATCTGTCCAGTCACCAGGTCTCCATTGTTAGTGACTATAGTGAGAATATATTCCCCTGTGTCCTCCTTGACTAGCGGCCCAAGCTGAAGCTGAAAGGTTGTCCTGTTGCAGCTGATTCTGTTGACGTACGGCGGGCGAACACTTACAGTGTTCGATGAGGGAATGACTGTGACCATCGCGATCGGCTGACCTTTGTTGAAGGTCCATGTTACAGTTAGAATGTCAGGCGTCGAGACGACTGTTGTTTTGAAGGTCACGTTTTTACCTGTTTCAAAGAAAAGGTGACTTAATTAAAGATCTTAGGAATGTATACAAACATTTCAGTCATTCAACAACTTCTGATTTAGTGAATGACAATACAAACTTCTATTTAACAAAAACAAATATTGTCAAATGGCAACAACAGGGCATGAATATGTCACTGATAAGGGAGATATATATATATATATATATATATATATATATATATATATATATATATATATATATATATATATATATATATATATATATTCCATGACCGTGTACCACAAAACATATCACAACTGTCAATTATTTAAATTAGGATATATACAGAGCATCCGGAAAGTATTCATAGCACTTCACCTTTTTCCACTTTTTTATGTTGCAGCCTTATTCCAAAATGGATTTAATTAATTTATTTCCTCAAAATTCTACACACAATACCTCATAATGAGTTTTTAAAATTGTGGCAAATTCATTAAATAACAAAAACTCAATACTTTGTTGATGCACCTTTGGCAGCAATTACAGCCTCAAGTCTTTTTGAATATGATGCCACAAGCTTGGCACTCCTGTCTTTGGGGATTTTTGCCCATTCCTCTTTGCAGTACCTCTCAAGCTCTATCAGGTTGGATGGGAAGCAACAGTGTACAGCCATTTACAGATCTCTCCAGAGATGTTCAATAGGATTTATGTCTGAGCTCTGGCTGGGCCACTTAAGGACATTCACAGAGTTGTTGTGAAGCCACTCCATTGATATTTTGGGGATGTGCTTTAGGTCATTGTCCTGCTAGAAGATGAACCGTCGCCTCAGTCTGAGGTCAAGAGCACTATGAAGCAGGTTTTCATTCACGATGTCTCTGTACATTGCTGCATTCATCTTTCCCTCCATCCTAGCTAGTCTTCCAGTTCCTGCTGCCATAAAACATCCCCACAGCATAATGCTGCCAACATTATGCTTCACTGTAGGGATGCTATTAGCCTGGTGATGAGTGGTGCCTGGTTTTCTCCAAACGTAACGTCTGGCATTCACTCCAAATAGTTCAAATTTAGTCTCTTCAGACCAGAGAATTTAGTTTATTATGGTCTGAGAGTCCTTCAGATGCCTTTTGGCAAATTCCAGGCAGGGAGTGGCTTCAGTCTGGTCACTCTACCATACAGGCCTGATTGATGGATTGCTGCACAGATGGTTGTCCTTCTGTAAGATTCTCCTCTTACCATTGAAGAACGCTGAAGCTCAGTCAGAGTGAACATCAGGTTATTAAACACCTCCCTGACTAAGGCTCTTCTCCCCCGATCACTCACCTTAGATGGCCGGCCAGCTCTAGGAAGAGTCCTGGTGGTTTCAAACATCTTCCACTTACGGATGACGGAGGCCACTGTGCTCATCTGAGCTTTCAGAGCAGCAGAAATTTTTAGTAACCTTCCCCAGCCTTGTGCCTCGAGAAAATCCTGTCTCAGAGGTCTACAGACAATTCCTTTGTCTTCATGCTTGGTTTGTGCTTTGACATGCACTATTAACCCTGGGAGCTTATAGACAGGTGTATGCCTTTTCAAGTCATGTCCAATCCACTGAATTGACCACATGTGAACTCCAATTAAGCTGCTGAAACATCTCAAGAATGATCAGTGGAAACAGAATGTACCTGAGCTCAATTTAGAGCTTCACGGCAAAGGCTGTGAATACTGACGTACATGTGATTTTTCAGCTTTTTTATTTTTATTAAATTTGCAACAATTTCAAAAACTCTTTCACATTGTCATTATGGGGTATTTTGTGTAGAATTTTGAGGAAATCAATGAATTTAATCCAATTTGGAATAAGGCTGCAACATTAAAAAAATGTGGAAAAAGCGAAGCGCTATGAATACTTTCCAGATGCTCCGTACATCATTTGAAAGCTGAATAAAAAATGTTGACACCACTTCCGCCACCATTTTTTGTTTTGTTTTTTTAAAGCCCTATAAAAATATTAAAATTATTGTACATTCTTAATTAAAAAAACACATATTCAATTAGTTTACCAGCTGAATATTAATAGCCTTCTTCTAAAGCAAAGTGTAATCCTTTCTTTTACTTATTTTTTTCCATAATTTCCATTGATGTTTTGGTTTGGTAGACAATATTTAGCTGGGATATCACTATTAAAAAAAAATCTGTATTCTTAGTTAAAAAAAATCTAAATATAGAGAAAATGACATTTAAAGCTGTCCAAATCATGCTTTCAGCAGTGCATATTACTAAACAAGAATTGAGTTTTGAATTAAAGTAGAACATTTACAAAAATCTTCATGAATATGACCTTTACTTAATATTCAATGATTTTTAGCAACGAAAATCTATCATTTTGAGCCTTACAATGTATTTTTGTGGCCAATATACTAGTGGAACATAAGACTCAAGGGTCACACACCCACTCGAGCGCACACACACTTACAAAATACAAACACTTAAAAAAATAGCCAATAACATTGCTTTTTAACTACAGCTACCAGATAACCAACATTTCTTAAGCTCTCCAGACACCATTACTTCAAGCCCTACAAAAATATCAACATTATTTTACATTCTTAATAAGGAAACATGTATTCAATTCATTTACAGGCAAATTTTAGTAGCCTACTTCCAAAACCAAGTTTAATCCTTTCTTCTACTTCATCTTTTCATAATTTCCATTGATGTTTTGGTTTGGTAGAAATATTTAGTTGAGATCTTTAAATAATTTGAATTCGTAGGGTTAAAAAAATTCAAAATATTGAGAAGATGATATTTAATGTTGTTCCAATCATGCTCTTAGCAGTGCATATTACTAAACAAGAATTAAGTTTTGAATTAAAGTAGGAAATTTTCTAATATTTTCATGAACATAACCTTTACTTAATATTCAATGATTTTTAGCAAAGAAAATGTCTCATTTTGAGCCTTATAATGTATTTTTTGGCCAATCTATCAGTGGGACATAAGAGTTAAGGGTCACACATCCACTCGAGCGCACACAAACTTTCAAAATACAAATGCTTTCAAATATATATTTTCAAAAACAGCCAATCACATTGATTTTTAAACAACAGCTACCAAATAACCAACATTTCTCAAACTCTCCAGACACCATTACTTTACAGAAATATCCACATTATTTTACATTCTAATAAGGAAACATGTATTCAATTCATTTACAGGCGAATATTAGTAGCTATCTTCTCGAGCAAAGTATAATCTTTTCTTCTGCTTTATTTTTTCATAATTTCCATAGATTTTTTGGTCAAAATCTGAATTCTGTGGGTTAAAAAAATTATATATATTTATAAAACGACATTTAAAGTTGTTCCAATCATACACTTAGCAAAATTAATAAACAAGAATACACACCCACCCACTCTCTCTCTCTCTCTCTCTCTCACACACACACACACACACACACACACACACACACACACACACACACACACACACACACACACACACACACACGCACACACACACACACACACACACACACTTTCAAAATACAAACACTTTCAAATATATATTTAAAAATAGCCAATAACATTGGTTTTAAACCACAACTTACTACAGATAACATTTCTCAAGCTTTCCAGACACCATTTGTTCTATTACTTTAAGCCCTACACAAATATCAGCAATATTTTACATTCTTAATAAGGAAACAAATTCAATTAGTTTAACTGTTACTAATATTAGTAGCCTACTTCTAAAGCAAAGTTTAATCATTTCCTCCTTCTACTTCATTTCCAAGATCCCTTAGAACTCACACCTAAAATGCCACAACCATCTTGCTATCGATAAATGTTAGCCTAATTAGCTACTGAAAACATTTAATAATACTACCAAATATTAATATTAGAGTCATAAGATAATATTATAATATGCCAAACTCTTAAACTAAAACACACTGGAATCATTTGCATAATATCCTAACACTTCCATACACCCACTTACCTACAACGCCGTTGATTTTGTCGGTAGCAAGCGGACTGCTCCCGGAACAGCATCCTTGAAAAAGGCACGATATTCAGTCAGGTGAACATGAGGATGAATTTAAACGACTCGTTATATATGCTGGTGTATACTACTGTTAATAGGCCAGCCTTAGATTAAGTTTTAGCTTTTAAAACATAAGAAGTATCACGTTTGTCTCTAATTTTATTTGAACTTACCCAGAGCGGCCAGAATGATAAGCAAAGGCAGCCTAAAGTTATAGAAATCCATATGGAGAGCTGTGAGTCCCTGGAGCGACAGAGAGGAATGTGAGACTGTGAGACCTTTCTGTAAGAACTTGAGAAAGTTAACAACGCGGACACACCCAAAAAAAAAAAAAAAAACCTTAAAAAAAACGCCCTTCTCCTCTCAACCTGTGCTCATCTCCCGTGTTTCACCGATGCTCAAAGACTGCGCTTGATTAAGAGGAAACAGCGCCCTCTGCAGTCCGTTCTCATTACTTCTTAAAATTTTTATTTCATTATAAATGAGGTGGGGGTTCTCCAGACTGCAGTTACCCATACTAGTTATAATTTGTTGCAACGATCAACATCGCAAGACATGTTTACCATTAAAATAAACAAAATAAATGTAAATTATTCTTTTAACAAAAAAACAAAAAAAAATTAATTAATAAATAACAACTGCAGAACGGAGCAATGAGCATTAGAAAATATACAGTTGAAGTCAGAATTATTAGCCCCCTTTGAATAATTTTTTTCTTTTTTAAATATTTCTCAAACTATGTTTAACAGAGCAAGGAAATTTTCACAGAATTTCTGATAATATACAATATAATAATACGTTTGAAGAGGCGATTTGTATTCCTGTCTTATACTGACTTCTAGTGTCAAAACGAGACACTACATCAAGGGTCACCAACCCTGCTCCTGGAGAGCTCTTCCTTCCTGCAGAATTCAGCTCCAACCCTGATCAAACACACCTGAACCCATTAATCAGAACCTGAAGCAAGGCTTGATGATTAGAGACAGGTGTGTTTGATCAGGGTTGGTGACCCCTGCAGTAAAAGTAACACCAGCCAGAATCACGAATAGTCAGTTAACAAGGATCTGAAGTTAAAGAGATGCTTTATGTAATCACAAAATATATTATGTGCTTTCATTTTACTCGATGTTAAATGCTCCTAATGTGAGTTTAAACACCATTTTACGTGACTTTTATTGCCACACGGCTGAACACAGCAGCCTATATATATATATATATATATATATATATATATTCATTCAATTTCTTTTCGGCTTAGTTCCTTTATTAATCTGGGGTCGTCACCTGTACTGCATTTCTTTGGACTGTGGGGGAAACCGGAGCTCCCGGAGGAAACCCACGCTTAAATAGACAAAATTTAGCTAAATACAATGTTTGCGGTAATATGTTTTCATTTTTTGGATGAATACATGCCAAGCAGGCACAGGACGTCAACATGACGCTAGATCGACGTTTTACCCCAACGTCATAAGACAGTGTATTTTGTTTGGAAATTAAAATCTTGTTGACGTCAGAACCCAACGTTCAACCTAATATTAACCAAATATTAACATCAAATGATGTTACAGCTTGAGGTTACCACTGTGACGTCTATCAGACGTTGGATTCTGGTTGCTAAACTTGACGAATAAATGGTCAATACGATGTTGGCTTAAGATTTTGGATTTTGAACTTTACAACACAACCAAATATCAACGTCATTTGATGTCATTATTGGACACCATGATAACGTTGTCGTTAGACGCTTGCTAGATATTGTCTAATGATGGTTTGTTCTGTAGATAACAATTTTTCTTAAGTGGGCCAATAATTTTGACCTTAAAATGTTTTTTTTATTTAAAACTGTTTTTAATCCAGCTGAAATCAAACAACAAATAAGACTTTCGCCAGAAATAAAAAATATATAGGAACTACAGTGAAAAATGTATTGCTCTGCTAAACATTCATTCATTTTCTTGTCAGCTTAGTCCCTTTATTAATTCAGGGTCACCACAGTGGAATGAACCGCCAACTTATCCAGCAAGTTTTTACACAGCAACCCATCTCTGGGAAACATCCACACACACATTCACACACCATGGACAATTTAGCCTAACCAATTCACCTGTACCACATGTCTTGGGACTGTGGGGGAAACCAGAGCACACAGGGGAAATCCACGCGAAGGCAGGGAGAACATGCAAACTCCACACAGAAACGACATCTGAGCCGAGGTTCAAACCAGCGACCTTCTTGCTGTGAGGCGACAGCACTACCTACTGCGCCACTGCCTCGCCTCTACTAAACATCATTTGGCAAATACTAGAAAAATAAAGATAATACAATGGCGAACCATTTGGAATTCAACTGTTTTTGAAACTTTAATTTCTTTGTGTAGGAGCATTTGAGGGTTCATTTGTCAATTCTCTACTGTTCGCCCACCTTCCATATGCCTGTTTCTCCTCATTCTTTCCTGCAGTCTTCTCCTGACAGAGACAGATGCCTGTGAAAATACATGACCGTCAATGAAGGCTTACAGGTGTTCATACTTTTTACAAGCGTCCCCTGGAGTGCTGAATGACAGCGCAACACCACGGCCTGCTCAATAGTGAGTTTCACTGAAAACAATTACCTAAAGAGAACACATTCTTCTAACACTCTGATTTATGTCTATAGCTCCAGCTAATGGCGGCCCAAGGGTGTTGCATATGGGGACTGAGAGAATTGACTTGCCGTTGCATGTTTTCTTATCTGGTACAGAGCCCCAAATTAGACATTTTTTTTACCCTTAAGGGGAAAAACTACAAATTTTGAAATGTGTTACTGCTGAATGCTGTCAATAGGGGAGGAATATTAACATAGCAATTTTGTCTTAAGGGTAAATTTTTGGCCAGATGAAAGAATGTGCAAAAAAATAATAATAAAACTATATAATACACTCACCGGCCACTTTATTAGGTACACCTGTCTAACTGCTCGTTAACACACATTTCTAATCAGCTAATCATGGCAGCAACTCAAAGCATTTAGGCATGTAGACATGGTCAAGACGATCTGCTGCAGTTCAAATCGAGCATCAGAATGGGGAAGAAAGAACAGGGCATGATTGGTGGTGCCAGACGGGCTGAACTGAGTATTTCAGAAACTGCTGATCTACTGGGATTTTCATGCACAACCATCACTAGGGTTTACAGAGAATGATATTAAAAAGAGAAAATATTCTGTAAGCTGCAGTTCTGTGGGTGCAAATGCCTTGAGGCCAGAGGTCAGAGGAGAATGGGCAGACTGGTTTCTTGAACATTATAATGAGTTCACTGTAATCAAATGGCCTCCACAGTCACCAGATCTCAATCCAATAGAGCACCTTTAGGATGTGGTGGACGGGAGATTCGCATCATGGACGTGCAGCCGACAAATCTGCAGCCACTTTATGATGCTATCATGTCAATATGAAGTAAAATCTCTGAGGAATATTTCCAGTACCTTGATGAATCTATGCCATGAAGGATTAAAGCAGTTCTGAAGGCAAAGGGAGTCCAACCCGGTACTAGTAAGGTGTACCTAATAAAGTGGCCGGTGAGTGTATAATATAATATAATAAATATAATATAATATAATATAGTTCCCTCATTTTTAAATAATTTATGTAATGTTTGTTGACATTTTGAGAATCACTGTTGTCTTTTACTGTATTTATTCAGGATTATTATTCATATTTATCATGTTTGCTTGAGTTTTAAAAATCTAACTTCTTCCAAAGTCCACTTTCAGTTATAGACTTGCTGAAAATTATTCACAAAAACACGAAAAAACATGACTTTTTCATCACTTTCGTAGGGTAAATCGGGGACATGGTGCATCTGTTTCTTTGGAGTAAGGACTATAGGGAGGGTCCTGGCTGACTTGGTGTTCAAGACAAGATACAACATGAGCGCATGGTAAGAAACACTCTTTAGGTACTTAATTTTTGATGAAAATGTAACATTGCTAGTGATCTGGTAAGAAAAAGTAGGCCTACTGAAGTTCCAAGCTTAAAGTTAAAGCTGACTGTTTTATTCTCGAGACAACAATTCAGTATATAAAATACAAAAGTCTGATAGCCGAGAGGTTGAAGTTTGATGATGGATATTGTGCTTTTAATTACTTTAGCACTAATCAGGGGTATCAAAGTGAACCTGAGTGATGTTGAACACTGAAAATTATGTCATTGATAAGTCAAGAGTATTTATTTAATAATAAAATTAATTACTTACATTTGTATGGCACTTTACTGGGCACTCAAAGCACTTTACACATTGTGTGGAATCTCCTCATCCACCATCAATGTGCAGCACTGGATGATGTGATGGCAGCCATATTGCACCAGACCACACAACAGCTGATTGGTGGGGAGGAGACAGAGAGTTGAAGCCAGTTATGATATGGGGATGGTTAGGAGGCCATGATGGACAGAGGCCAGTGGGCCAAATTGGCCAGGATGCCGGGGTTTAACCCCTACTCTTTTTTCGAGTCAGGACCTCAGTTTAACGTCTGACCGGGCAGTATAGTCCCCTTCACTTTACTGGGGCGTGGGGCACCCACACAGACCGCAGGTTGAGCCTCACTAACACCACCTCTAGCAGCAACCTAGCTTTCCCATGTGGTCTCCTATCCAGGTATTGACCAGGCGTAGCACTGCTTAGCTTCAGTGTGCGACCATGTGAGAGTTGCAGAAAGCTAGCTGCCAGCATATTTACTTACTTAATGCTCATTTAATATGAACTGTTAAGCCTGATTTATTTAAAAAAGGATTAAAAAATATAATTAAATAATAATAATGTAAAGAATATTTAAATAAATTGATTTTATTTTTTTATTATTCATATTATATTATTTTTGTAAATTAAAAGTCTTCTATACATGCAGTATAAATACAGTCAAGCCCCAAATTATTCATACCTCATTTATATAATTGTTGGCTAGGGTTTTATTCATTTATTTTACATTTATTTATTTTAAGAATGGACAACTGAAGAGAAACGTTCTTACTAATAATTAATTATTTAATTAATCATAAAAATGTGCCATAAAAAGTTACTTACTTATTCATTGAATGAATTTAAAATTAAAAAATGGCACGTTTAAATATTTAATATTAGACTAGATTGGATTTTCTAAAAAAAAAAAAAAGAAAAAGAAAAAAATGGTTGCTAACTATTTATATGAGCTGAATTTAAACAAATTAAAAATTGTAATGTTCAACTTAATTTGATTCTTCAAATTCAGCCCATATAAATAGTTTGCAACAAATTAAATAAAAAAGAAAATTACTAAAAAAGTTAATTTATTAATGCGCTGGCCTGCAACATTTTGTACTTTATCAATAAAAGTTTAATTTAAAATCCACTTGACAGAAACGTTATAGGGATCACACAAGGGACTAAGACTGCGTGACATATCTGAGATTAATTATATTTACAAGCATGAATGCGGCATCTCCACTCACTGTCCCTTTGACTGCGAGTAGATGTTTTTAAAAATAGATTCTCATTTCATCATCTGTATTTTCCTCCAAGCCAGGCTTGTTCATTTCACTTGAAGTCACAGTCTGTCCTTCTTCCCATGTTCTCTCATTTTGCTGGCCTCATTTTACCTCAGACACCCAGAATATCACATAAAACACACGTTAGCGTTTAGCCAGAGAACATCTCACTGACGCTACTATTAGCTTGCAATGCTCCCGTTCAACACTAGAAGGCGGTTTTGTATAGATTATGTCAGCCTGCGAGTGTATGCAAACGAACAAAAACCGGACATCTGCTCTGTTTAGTCGTCTTATCAATTCCCCTTGGTCGCCCTTATGTAATTCATAAGCAAATGTCAAGTATCCTTGAGATGTGTGGAAATGCTTTAGCTGTCTTTGTATTATAAGGTGTTGAACAGGCTGATGACATCTAGCTTCTGCATATATTTGCTTGAATACTGTTGTGTGACTCACCTTGATTCACACGTGCTTGTCCTTGTAGGATTGCTTAAACATTAATTGTTAAACATAATGCATAGATCTGTTTTTAAACAACACACAGACATATTAGCATACAACACAATTCTGTTGGCCAGGCCTGAAGTAATTTCTATCCACAATGAATGTCAGTAAATTCTGTAACTACCTGCATAAGCAGCCATGAACGCAGAAGGTTGTATTTGCAAGAGCCCAAAAATCAGTTAAAACTTATATTTTGGTAACACTTTATAATAACAGTACATGAATAATGGTGTGCTAATGTGTAAACTAAACATTACTTTATTATGAATTGATGATGAGTTAAGGCGCATGAACTAGCTTTAACAACAAAATGAGCCAAACGAGTTCATGTGTGAATAACAGCTTCCTTAATTTCTTGTTAGCTCATGTTGTTAATCAATGTATTAATTAACATTTAAGTTTAAGCTAACATGAACTCATGAGCTGTTAATAATTATGTCATGACTTTACTTGGAGGGGTTCATCACCATTAACTCATTCTACTCTTGAACTCCCGTGTTTAAACTGTTCCTGTTAATGGTGACAGAACACTTTTCTATAATTATTTAGTGTAAACTAAATCCACATGGTTAATCAGCTATAGATCACATAGGGCTACAGCTGGAAGTTAATGAGAATTATAAATATTATTATAGATTATATTATATTATAATTTATTAAATTTCCCATTAATTGTATTTTATAAATGTCTACCCCAATCCTAAACCAAACCATCACAGTAATGTAAAACAGATTCGGATCCGAAATCTTCTCTATTTGTATAGCTGATTAACCATATGGATGGATGATAACAGCCTTCTGAGCCTACTAGGCACAGCAGGCCCATGCAGAGACTAAGGTCATTTGCAGGATAAATTTTTTGGAGGGGGGGGGGGGGGGGGTGTTGTTGTTGCGCGCGTACTGAAGAGCGGTGTTGTCGCGCGCCTACTGAAGGGCGGGACCGAAAGTGTGCCGCGTCGCGGGGGCACTTTTGATAATTTTGGAAGGGAACTTTCTATCCAAGACTAAAAAGGGCATGTGTACTGCACAGGTTGAGCCCTATGTGTGCACGTGCCTGAGGCACAGAAGGCTCCTACTGGTCCATATCTATCTGTTGATAACCACTAATAACGCCCATTCAATCAAGTGATAACGTTCAAAGCGGGTGAAATAATACTGGACATTTTTCTCATAACTTTTTTAGTGGAACAAACAGTATTTGTCATTCAAATGTCTTAATAAAATAATTTTTAAGAGCGTCATAAATATGTAATGACATTTTAATGACAAATTCAGCTTGTACCACTGTAGTTGAAGTAAAAAGAAAACAAACATTAATGATGCTGATATAAAATAGTTGCGTATTTATAATGGCTTCATGGCAATCATGTTTATGATTGATTTATGACACGTTTTGTTGCCTTGGTAATGTCAAGTTGTCATGACAATGTCATGTCTTTGTTTATATCAAGTTGTCATAACAAACATAGCCCCTTTCACACATATAGTGCATACCTTTCCTGAAAATTACCGCCAATTGTCTGTAAAGGGATCATGTGTGAATAGATCCTTTTTGAAAATACCAGTAAATTCGTTCTGGCAATTTTCCAAAAAAAGAAGTTGTAACATTACTGGTAATTTGCCGGAATGCTGCTCTGCGTGAATTCAGAAGAAAAATTGCCGGAAAAGCGCGTTCACGTTTTGAACGCACTGACATGAGACGTCCACTCTAGCCAATCAGAACATTCAGACGCATTTACATCTGCGCTCTTTATGAAAATAAAAGTCTTTGAATATTTTTCCAGACACGTTTAGCTGCTAGATGTCAGCCAGAGAACGTTTTTATGTTTGTTCTTAATGCCAACTGTGTAAAAAACTATAAAAATCGATAAAATCATTATGATTAACCGCTGTTTGTTTACCTTCAAGCTCTGCTTCAGTTGCTTGACGTGTGTGCATGTGAAGTGCAGGAGTGCTCCAGTAAGCGCCAGCACACACACATATTAATGTACATCTTGACATGCGAACATGCTCCTCCATATGTTTTCATACAAGTTGTTCACAATACTTATCCATCTACAGAATTTGTAATGTAGTCAAGTGTGTAAACATTTAGCTGTGGTTCACATTTTTGCCTTTGGATGTCTCTGGGACAAAGCAGCTGCATGAATGCTAAAGCTTTAAATAAAAGGGAAATCAACAAAAGCCCAACACTTTCTATGTTTACAGATACATAAACAGCCGTTTAGAGATCATTTCTGGTTAATGATGTCAGAATACCTGTATTTTGGAATGGATGTGTGAACGATCTTTTCTTGAAACACTACAGAATGTCCTTGTCAATGTCCTTGTGAATGTCCTTGTCAATGTCTGTGAGAACAGCGCTTTAATCTTGAAAGTTTAGGGATATTTACCAGTATCACTGTCTGAAAGGAGCTAATGTCTTCTTTGCATTTAAAATGTCATAACTAAGCAAATGACACTTGTTATAAGCATGCATAAAGTGTCATGTCATGGTTATAAAGGTTTCATTTCTTATGAACAGTTCCTTCAGGTAAACTGTTATCCTAATATTCCAAAAAGCTTGCAAAATAAATACTTCAAACTCCTTGTACAGTTGAAGTCAGAATTTTTCTTTCTTTTTCAAATATTTCCCAGATGAAGTTCAACAGTGCAAGCAAATTTTCACAGTATGTCTGATAATATATTTTTTTCTGGAGAAAGTTTTATTTGCTTTAATTAGGCTAGAATAAAAGCTGTTTTTAATTTTTAAAAACAATTTTATGGTCAATTAATAGCCCCTTTAAGTCAATATATTTTTTTGATAGTCAACAGAGCAAACCATCATTATACTATAACTTGCAACCCAGGCTCATTCTGAAAACGTAGTCCCGCTGACATTTCTGGAGACCGGGAATTATGTAGCCGGAGGTACGTATGGCGACCGCTACGGACGGTGTGATGCTGTTCCCTTTTGCGCTTGCCAGTCGGCCGCTTACCTCTGTGTGGAGGACTTTCCCGCGCAACCAGTTTGACGACGACGACCGGGTTCGAGTTCTGGGAAGAGCGGCTCCAGAAATCAGGTAAGCAAAAATCCAAAAAATAAAGTGAACAAGTTCATAACAAGTGAGAATGTGGTAAAATTTGAAAACGTGGTAAAAACCAGACAAGGGCTTTTCTTTTTCTTGACAGCTTTTGTAAATCATTGGTTGGGTTTAGGGAAGGAGGAGGGTGAGTCAGCCGATTGGCCGGTCGCACGGTCAATCATTCTGTCATTCAGACAGACGGTCGTTCAACAGCGGCCTCTGGCGGGCTTACACAAGAACTGCGTGGGCGCGAACGCCCTTGTGAGAGACGTTTGAGACACGAAAAAGCGCGCACAGCAACCTCTTGCGGATTCGCGAAAACAAAACCTGCACAAATACGTACCTTTCGGGACGTATTTCGCGGTCTCCAGAAACATTCGTGGGATTAAGTTCTGAGAATGAGCCTGGGTTGATAACTTGCCTAATTACCCTAACCTGCCTAGTTAACCCAATTAACCCTTTAAATGTCACTTTAAGCTGTATAGAAGTGTCTTGAAAAATATCTCAAACATTATTTACTGTCGTCATGACAAAGATAAAATAAATCAGTTATTAGAGATCAGTTATTAAAACTATTACGTTTAGAAATGTGTTGAACAAATCTTCTCTCCGTCAAACAGAAATTGTGGGGAAAAATAAACAGGTGGGCTAATAATTCTAACTTCAACTGTATATCTAATATTAACGACAAACAAAAGCAAAAGTCACAGTTGAAATCACTCCGTTTTATTCCAAACATGTGTCTATATATTTAACGAAGAGGGGCAACAGCCCTCCTACATAACCCCACAGTTTTATTGGAATATTGATAACAATATAATCTGAATCATTTGCCTTGTTCTCCTCATCGTGGGTGTGATTCTTCAAGCACTGATATAGAAATCTTCGAAAATTAATGAGAAATTTAAAAAAATCAGCTTTGATTTAAAAAAAATGATTCTTCTCATACACTCGCACACGTACGTACAATCGTAAAAGCACCGACATATGAATGCTATGATGCTGCAGATTCTAAACGGGGCTGCTATGTTTACACTTTGGGTACAAATGAATACCGGCTTCCTCCAGACAGCAACTTCTAGTGCACTTCAACAAACCATTCATGATAGAGGCTCATTTAGCTCCATAATGAAAAACATCATTAATTGTCCTCACACATAATCAGATAAATGCCCCTTCGAGTGCACAAAGGGTCCGCCGTCTTATCTTGTTTTTGTTTCGGGGATGAGAAGTGCTTCTCGGCGTACTTGCCAATTACAAATATTGATGGGTAGCTTGTTAAAGTCAACATGAAATCAAAACCGATGCCGTTTAGTTCCCTAACACACATTAGTTTAAACAACTCCCCAGAAATCCCTTAATTTGAAGAAAAATAAAATGCTGGAATATCACAATCTTTTATAAAAGTGTAACTTACTTTCTTCTTGAAATGATTCTCCTGTTCAGTTGACATCGTCTTTGCTGTGCGGGCTATTAGTTCACGTTAACCGATAGCCAAATTGGCAATATGAAGGACTACAGTAGCAGGCACAGTAATCCGAATCCATTGTAAAATGTTGCCAACATATATAACACAGTAATTTAATGCTGGTAAACGTTGAAACAATAAAAGTTACAGCAGAAATAGCAAATAACGACATATTCGTATTTGGAAAAGCAGTGTTACCACTGGGATTTGCTGAAATGGTCTCAGGGGTGAATGACATCCATAATCCGCTGACATTCAGGTCTGAGATGCTCGCGCTACGTGATCCACTCAATTCCCGATGGATAAAATCAAGTCGTGCCCTACATTCTTTCCTCCTTGAAAATCCTGTCTACCTGCAAATACATCAGGGGAGTGAGTTGGGTTTTTCAATGTTGTTTCATGTTGATTTTAACCATTAACAGTTGACATTTAAATTAAATAATACTAGATTGAAATCTCTGATAACCAAAAACAAAAGCTCCCCTTGAAACGTACAAAAAAAAACCGATATACTTAGTCCTCCGAGAAATTAACAATACAAGTATCATATTCCAAAAAAAAAACTAAACGAAAGCCTGGAAAGAAAACCAAGAGACATTCAGGAATAATAATAATAATAATAAAAAGATTTTAAAACCACTTTTTTTTTAAAGAACCAAAAGAAAAGTACTAGTTTGCACCAAAGTCGTTTGAGTTTTGCGTGCACACATTGACTCCAGGAGTGCAGTCCTCCATCTCGACTCGTGGAAAATCTCCGCACTTCTATGCAAAAAGTACAGTCGTCTTTAAAGTTTCCCTTTCCATGTTGCATAGCATACGTTCACGGGATATGCATTGTAACAGTAACTGCGCTGGCTCTGAATGACGTGGTGTTAAGTGTCCGGCTGAATCATCATCCCTCTCTCTCTCCCAGAGTCCATTAATGTGATTTTGCATCCTTTGTTTGCAGTATCCCAGAGGTCACTTTGACAGGAGGTCTATGAGTCTGTCCTCCAGCGCTCATTTACATGAATTTACCGTCCCGAATGTTGGCCTACTCCTGCTTGCAGAGCAGATCAGTGGAGGGGGATTTAGTTGGAGGCACAGGCCTTGGCGGAGGTGCGGGTTTTGCTCTCCGTGGGCTGCTCAAACCTTCTTCTTCAGTTTCGGGGTTTGGCGGCGGCGGCGGTAAACGGGGTAAAGACGATGTTGCTGACGCCAGTGGCGAAATTCGCGAACAAGACGATGTGGATCGAAGACTCTGTATCCGCCGGCACTCCTGGCACACTCTTACATGCGTACATCCACGGGGCGCTGCTGTAGGGAGCAAAACAGGAGCGCTACTTGGGACGCTAGCATTGAGAGGGTCTTCTAGTAGTCGTTGAGGGCCTGGGCCCATTTCTGCTGCGCCTGCAGCAGGTCCCGGTCCTGGTGTGCCACTAGGCACTGTTCCCGTCCCGCTGTAGAGTTTGCCATTGCTGAGACGCATCTCGCGCACCAGTCTGATGGGCCGCGAAGCTCCTAAAGGGAGACGGGCCGGGTGTCGCAGGACACCCTGAGACGAGAAAGCTCGTCGTCGCCGCAAACGAGAGTTCTTTTTACAGGAGATTACATTCCTGAATTCGGTCATCATTTCCTGACACACTGACACCTGGGTGAGGAGGAAGAAAAGGAAGAGAGTGGACGAGAGTCAGGAGGGAGGCATACAAAGAGAAAAGGATACATGATGGGATGAGATGATTGTGATGGGAATTACACAGGCTCATTATGAAACCGTAGCCCTATAGACATTTCTGGAGACCTCGAATTATGTACCCAGAGGTATGTATGGCTGCATTTTATTTTTTAAACAAACACTTTGGGCCGGTATTACGCCAATTTTTTTTGCACTTATCAGCTGACTGCATGTCTCCGTATGGACGGCTTTTATGCTGTAGCCAATTAGCTGCCATGTACGTCGGCGGACTTGAGACGCAGAGAGGTGTCGATCATGAGGACGGGGTTCAAGTCCAATGGAGAACGGTTCCAGAAAGCAGGTAGGACAAAAACAGAATCCAAAAAATAAAATGAATAAGTAAATAACAGGGTGAGAATGAGGTAAAACGTGGTAAAAATCAGACAAGGGCTTTTCTTTTTCTGGATTGCTTTTGAAAATTGTTGGTTGGGTTTAGGGAAGTGGGTGGGCGGGTCAATCAATAAAGTTGGTTGGGTTTAGGCCAGGAGGAGGGTGGGTCAGTCGATCAGTCAGTCAAACAGTCAGTCGACTGCGGCCTCTGGTGGGTTTACGTGAGAACAGCAGGCATGAATGGCACTCACGAGAGAAATTTGAGATCTCAAAAAGCGCACACAGTGGCCTCTTGTGGATTCGCAAAAACAAAAACTGCAAAAAAACCCACGGCGGCGTATTTTGCAGTCTTCAGAAATGTCTATAGGTCTGTTTTCAGAATGAACCTGGGTTGCGATCATCATTACTACTATTTCATATTGAGAAGTTGAGGTAGCCGTTTTGACAACCAAGGCTCAATTTGGATATGTACCCCTGTATACATTTTTGGAGAGCACAAAATACATCCCAGGAGGTGCGTTTTTGTTTTGCAAAACCACCAGAGGCCGCTGTGTACACTTTTGCAGATCTCAAATTTCTCTGCCGAGTGCCATTCGTGCCTGCTGTTCTCACGTAAATTCACCAGAGGCCGCTGTCGACAGACTGACTGATTGATCTGCCCACCCAGCCTTTTCCCTAAACCCAACCGAGCTTTCAAAATCACTGATTGACCAGATAACCCCCGTCCCTAAACCCAACCGACAGTGTTGTCAAAAGCAATCCAGGAAAACAAAAGCCTTCGCGTCCACCTGATTTGTACACATTTCAGATCTTACCACGTTCTCACCCTGTTATTTACTTTTAGTTTTTGCTATTTTTTTTCCAGATTTATGCAACCATTGTTTGCCAGACTCAAACCCCATCATCACGCTCAACTCCTCTCTGCATCTCAAGTTAACTGACATACACGGCGAGTCACTGAGCAAACTGGTAACAGCATAAAAGCTATTTACATCAAAGTAAGCGCGTCAGCTGGTAGCGTAAAAAAACAGAAGCCATCGGCGGCATCATACCACCCCGTATTGTTCGTTTTAAAGACAAAATGCATCTTTATACATAATTCACGCTCTCCAGAAATTTATACAGGGGTTTGTATTAACAATGAGCCTGTGTTGGTTTTGATTTCAGGGACTCAGTACCGGACCAAAACACACCATAGCAGTGGAAAAGCATTTCTAATGACTAATCCAGTTGTGTGTTGTATACTTATATTAATATAAATATTTTTATTCACACACAACTTCTATCCTTGTAAAATATTTTATACCAGAATAAGTAGACGCATGTGCACCTTTAAAGGTTTGAGATTGCTTCATTTTGTACACCAAGGCTGCATTAATTTCATCATTTTAAGTAACAGTTTTTTTTCCCCTAATACTTATTAAATTTGGTGACTAAAAGATGAATTTTCAGCATAATTACTTCAGTCTTCAGTGTCAAAAGATCCTTCAAAAAATATATATATTTATGGTTATTATTATGATCAAGGTTTTATTTTTGTTGAAAATGTTCTTTTCAAAAGTACATTTAAAATAAATTTTGTTTATCAAGGACACATTTAATTGACCAAAACTGAGAGTAAACACATTCATTGAGTTACAGACTGTATTTATTTTTTAATTGCTGTTATTTTAAACTTTCTACTTGTTAAATAATCCTGAAAAGCAACGTGTGTAGCAGTTTCCAAAAAAAAAAAAAAAAAACAAACAAAAAAAGATTTACAACATTGAAAAAAACTAAAAGTTCACAATTAGAGTAATGTTTGAGCACCAATAATAACTGATCATAACAGAATATAATATTACTAGAATGGTGTGAAACTGAAGACAGGCAGTGATGCTAAAAATTCAACTTTTATCAATGTAATTTGTGTAATTAATCAATTCATAACAGTTTAAAACGTTCACATAGTAAACATTTTAAGATGAAATAATCACAATATTTCTATTCTATACTTTATCATACTGAAGTGACTTTAAAAAACATCAACAAACCTACAAACTGCAACATACACTCACTGGCCACTTTATTAGGTACACTTTACTAGTACCAGGTTGGACGCCCTTTTGTCTTCAGAACTGCCCTAATCCTTCATGGCAAAGATTCAACAAGGTACTGGAAATATTCCTTCGAGATTTTGCTCATTATTGACATGATAGCATCACGTAGATGCGAATCTCCCATTCCACCACATCCCAAAGGTGCTCTTTTGGATTAAGATCTGGTGACTGTGGAGACCATTAAAATACAGTGAACTCATTGCTCACAGTGAACCCTAGAGATGGTTGTGCGTGAAAATCCCAGTAGATCAGCAGTTTCTGAAATACTCAGACCAGGCCGTCTTGCACCTACAAACATGCCACTTTCAATGTCGCTGAAAAGCACCTTTCTTCCCCATTCTGATCTCGGTTTGAACTGCAGCAGATCGTCTTGACCATGTCTACACGTCTTAATGCGTTGCAGCAATATGATTGGCTGATTAGAAATTTGCATTCAGGAGCAGATGGACAGGTGTACCTAATAAAGCCGGTGAGTGGAATTAGTTTCATATGACTATTCCAGTTCTATGAATCACATTTTGGTTTTAGTCATTAAAATGTATCCAAAGTGAATTGCAATGCAGATACACACATCTAAAATACATGTAGTTCGAGATTCATATTTTATCAGCAGACATGCTCCCAGGAAAGCAAACCTACAGTATGACCTTTTGAGCAGCAGAAACAGCCTGCATTGAATAATATGTGCAAAATAAAGTTTTCCGAATAAACTTAGAACTAAGTACATGCGATTTCCTCATTTGTCTCAAATATGATGAATAAAACAAGTTCTTCAATCATAAACAAAGACTGTGACGCGCTCTGGTTTTGCATAACACAAGCATTCTCTAATAAATATGCAGGTTGCTTCTAGACAAATCCAGATACACATGAAAACTAATCTCTTTCTCTGCTTTAGGTCTTTTGTGAGCGATGTGTCTGTTTACATGTGCAGTCTTAACCCGGTTATGCTTAATAAGACGACAATGCAGATGCTCATGTAAATGTGTTAACCCATTAGTGAGGTCACAAAGGCTTCAGCATAAACCAATGATCACTGCTAGACTTTCGCCCAGCATGTAAACATATTAACCTTCATGCGATGCAACATGTCCTCAGGCAGAAGAAACGAGTTAACTTCAGATGCTTCTTTTGACTCACAGAATTATAAAAACATGTTTTCATCTCGTACAGTAGAAGAACTACAGTCAATATTCTGCTTCTGAAGAATATAAGATGTTTCTTTTCCACTGACACATTCTCCTTCAGTCTTGAATCATTTATTTAACGTCAACCGACATCAAATGGAGTATTTAGAGATAATTATATAATCTCATTGTTGGTTCCAAACTCAATACCGGGGTGGCAGAAATATGTGCAACAAACTATGTGGAAGCTATAGAACAGTTGGATTATATGAGAAACACAGAGGGTGTGACTGGTTGGCGTGGAGACCTACTCGTGCGTGTCTGTGGTTTCGGACGGGGCAGGGGTGAGGGCGTACCTCATCTGTCTCCGCCGACCGGCGCGTGGACCACACAAACTCCATAATGGCTACAAAAACAGCGATTATGAGCCCACATATCAGCACCACGAATATCCCGCCGATATTATCCATACCAAGACCTGAAGAAAAAAAAAACATGGTGAGTAACACACAGAAATATCCTTACACAAACACACTCAGGATTGTTTTTTTATGAATTGTAGGGACAATATGCAGGTTTCCATAGTTTTTATACTCTACAAACTGTATTTTCTATCCCCCTCCTCCAACTCTATCCCTAAACCCCTCATAGGAAACTGCTCATTCTGTGTGACTTAAAGAGTCATCAGTAATGTCCTCATAATTCACCACCTTCTAGTAAAACCAGTGTCATATCCATGTCATTATACATATTCATGTCTTGAAATGTCAGAAAAACCATGTACAACCCCCCCCCCACACACACATACACACACAAACAGCATGATGTAATCTGAAATACTTAAACTCCACAATGCTAGAACTTACTGGTTTTGCTATACTTTTGGGGACATTTAGACCACAAAATGCAAGGAATACAAGGTCATTCAAGCACGCACACACACACACACACACACACACACACACACACACACACACACACACACACACACACACACACACACACACACACACACAGAGAAAGAGAGAAACAGCATAATGTACTCTGAAATATTTAATTCTGTGCAATTCATGAGCTGTTTTCCTGTGCAGACTAAAAAAGTCCCCACAATTCCGGAAGGAATACAAGGTCATTCAAGCACAAACACACACGCAAACACAAACAGCATAATGTACACTGAAATACTTGATTGTGTGATTTTTTTTAGCCTTTTTTTCATTGGGGACCAAAGAAAAGTCCCCACAATGCTAAAATGTACTGGTACTTTTATACTTTTGGAGGCATTTGGTCCCCACAACGCAATAATACAAGGTCATTCAAGCACACACACACACACACAAACAGCATGATATACTCTGAAATACTTCATTCTGTGTGATTTAAAAGCCATTTTGTCATGGGAACCAAAAAAGTCCCCACAATGCTGAAAATTGACTAGTACTGCTATGATTGTGGGGACATTTGGTCCCCACAACACAAGGAATGCAAAGTCATTCAAGCATGGACACACATAAACAGCATAATGTACACTGAAATACTTCATTCTCTGTGATTTTTGAGCCATTTTCTTCATAGGGACCTAAAAAAAGTCCCCACAATGCTAAAATGTACTGGTATTGCTATACTCCTTTGGGACATGTGGTCCCCACAACACAAGTAATACAATATCATTCAAGCGCGCACACACTTGTACAGCTATCTTTATAGAGACTTCCCAAAGTCGTATTGATTTTTTCTACTGTGCAAACTGTACATTCTGCCCCCCAAACCCCTAAACTCAACCCTCACAGATAAAAAAATCTGCATTTTTAGATTTTCAAAATGCTTAATTCTGTGTGATTTATGAACCATTTTTCTCATGGGAACCAAGAAATGTCACACAAGGCCGGAATTTACTGATATTGTGGGGACATTTGGTCCTTACAATGTAAGTAATACAAGGTCACACACTTGCACGCACACACTTTGGATCTGATTAGAGATTTGCATACCTGCAGGATTCCAGAGGGATCCTATTAAAGTACATTTCGGAGATGTAGGTGGGTGTAGGCGGCATTCCTATGAGTTTTCGGCATGAAGACTGAACAGACTTTATTTTTTTAATGCATGTCTGAACTGATTTGTTTCAATGAGCTGAATGGGGAAAAAAAGCGGATCCATCCATGCATGCTTCTTATGAAATAACATCTGTAGATATTCTTTGTTTTTGTCTTATATAAGGAAGGATAAGCAGCTTTATCACATGTAGGAAAACTATTTAAACCTATGAACAAGACCTAAAAACAAGCAGAAGTGTGTGGGAAGAAAGACTTTAACCACTGGATGTATAAAATAAAGGAAACATTTCATAATTCCAAATTAACAGAACAATTGTTATTGTTTGATTTTTATATACAGTTATTATTAACTCATTATACTTATTTTTGGGTGACACGGTGGCTCAGTGGTTAGCACTGTCGCCTTACAGCAAGAAGATTGCTGGTTTGAGTCCCGGCTGGGTCAATTGGCGTTTCTGTGTGGAGTTTGCATGTTCTCCCCGTGTTTGTGTGGGTTACCTCTGGGTACTCTGGTTTCCCCCACAGTCCAAAGACATAAGCTATGGGTGAATTGGGTTAACAAAAATGGCCGTAGTTTATGTGTGTGAGTTAGTGTGTGTGGGTGTTTCCCGGTATTGGGTTGCAGCTGGAAGGGCATCCGCTGTGTAAAACAAATGCTGGATAAGTTGGCGGTTCATTCCGCTGTGGCGACCCCAGATTAATAAAGGGACTAAGCCGACAAGAAAATAAATGAATGAAAAATTAAACAAAAATGTTCTGTTGATTTGGAATTAAGAAACGTTCCATCATTTTTTTATTGCGTTATTTTATTAAATATTATTAATATCAAAATTATTATACAGTAGCTCATTACTAAATCTAAAATAATAAAAACATGAAACTAAAATAATATTTGTTGCCTAAAATAAATACAATTATTTTAAAATAAATATGTATATTTTTATTAATTATTTTTTATTATAACTTAATTATTTTTTAATTGCAGTTAGTTAAACAAAAAAATACAATTTTGTATTTTATTTAAATAGAATTTCTAAAAAACTATACATACATATACAAAATAATAATAATAAAAATAATATTATTATTATTATTATTAATAATAATAATTATAATAATAATGATAATAATAATAATAATAGCAATATTAATAATAATAATAATAGTTATAGTAATAATAATAAAATAGTAATTATAATAATAATTATAGTAATAATAATAATAATAATAATAATAATAATAATAATAATAATATTATTATTAATAATAATAATAACAACAATAATAATAGTAATAATGATTATAATTATTATAGTATTACTACTACTACTACTACTAATAATATTAATAATAATCGTAACAATTATAATAATAATAATTATACTACTACTACTATTAATAATAATAATATTTTTCCCCCCCACAACAAGAAATTTTAAATTCTAAAAATAAAATGATGATAATAAAAACATTCATGAAAAAATAGCTACCCAACCCAACCAAAATAACATCTTAGCTCATCATCAAAATCTGGGTCAATTTTAGTTACCATTCATTCATTTTCTTGTCGACTTAGTCCCTTCATTCAGCAGAATGAACCGCCAACTTATCCAGCAAGTTTTTACACAGCGAATCTCTGGGAACCCATCTCCACAACCCATCTCTGGGAAACATCCACACATTCACACACACACTTATACACCATGGACAATTTAGCTTACCCAATTCACTGTCTTTGGACTGTGGGGGAAACCGGAGCACCCGTAGGAAACCCACGCGAACGCAGGGAAAACATGCAAACTCCACACAGAAACGCCAACTGAGCCGAGGCTCGAACCAGCGACCTTCTTGCTGTGAGGCCACAGCACTACCTACTGCACCACTGCCTCGCCCAATTTCAGTTACCAATGAAAATGAAAGTCAATTTCTAGCACTTTGAGAGTAAAAAAACATACACAGAAAGACATATGTGTCCTTATTATAAAAGCTGCAGCTTTCGCACAAATCCTGTTTGTTTACAGCTTTTTTTTTTTAAATAGGAGTCATTATAAGTAACAGCAAATGTCATCCCCAGACTGTTAAAAATGTTCCTTCGGGTTTTATTGAAAACTAAAAAGAGTCACCTTCATCTCAGATGACCTTAAGCCAAGTCAATTAAAGTCAGAATGTCAGTTTTGGGTGAACTATCCTTTAATTTCCTCACAAAGGAACACAAATGATGTGCTTGTGCAGGAACAGCCGTGCTGAATCACAAAATACAGAGCTCATATTATCTGACATTTTCTCGCCGACCTGTAAATAACCCTGAGAGACTGTAAATGTCACTATCTGGTAAAAAAAAAAAATGCAAGCTTTTGTGAGCCACACCAGAGAAATCACATGCGTGTACAGGCCTGCGTGCACCGAAACAGCTATATTTTCCTTCCATTCCCCCTGGGCTAGTGTGAGTCTACAACACAGAGAATGCAAATATCACCAGACCACATAAATAAACACTCTCGGTGTTGGCAGAGCTGCGAAGCATCTGTCATTCCCAAACAGACGGATGTAGTGCTTCCTATATGCCATATTATAACAATATAGAGAACGGCAGGGAATCAAAGATGCTCACCGCCACTGTTTGTCTGCTTTGAGTCAAACACATTTCTTATATTGAGCTCAAATGGATTTGTTTGAAGAGCAAGATATATTTAAGTAGGAGAGATAAGGCTACTGTTGGCAAACAGATACACAGCACACAAGCATTCATGCTTTTTTATGACATTCAAGGCTGAAATAAAGGATTTTTTGCTGCTTGTTCAAACTACTTATCAAATATGAGCTGAATCAACACAATTCTTTAGGTTCTTGGGGGGACAACTTAATTGTTTTGTGTTTAATACACTTATAATATATAGTATAGTGGATACTAAAATATAATTTATGTATACACTGACTGCACCGGCCACTTTATTAGGTACACCTTTCCAACTGCTTGTTAATGCAAATTTCTACTCAGCCATTCACATGGCAGCAACTCACTGCATTTAGGTATGTAAACATGGTCAAGATGATCTGCTGCAGTTCAAACCGAGCATCAGAATGGGGAAGAAAGGTTATTTAGGTGACTTTGATCATGGCATGTTTGTTGGTCCCAGACTTTCAGAAACTGCTGATCTACTGGGATTTTCACACACAACCATCTCTAGGGTTTCCAGAGAATAATCCGCCATGTCAAATAGAGTAAATCATCTCAGACTGGTTTCTTGAACATGATAACGAGATCACTGTACTTAAATGGCCTCCACAGTCACCAGAGCTCAATCCAATAGAGCACCTTTGGGATGTGGTGGAGATTCATAAATGTGCAGCCGACAAATCTGCAGCAACACGCGTGATGATATCATGTCAATATGGAGCAAAATCTCTGAGGAATATTTCCTGTAGCTTGTTGAATCTATGCCACGAAGGATCAAGGCAATTCTGAAGGCAAAAGTGGGTCCAACCTGGTACTAGTAAGGTGTACCTAATAAAGTGGCCGGTGAGTGTGTGTAATAATATTTAAAATATTACAAATATTTTCTAGGATTTGTTATCACATTACCTCTGAGTTTTACAAAGCTGGGCATTTAATTAATATGGTTATTAATTCAGCAATATATAAATTGAATATAGCCTACATTCCATCCTCAACAGCTTAGGAGCAGAAGAGGTTACTCTGCTGGGTTATATTAGAAATCTCACTCACTCCAAGATTAAATACAGTAAACCTCTATAGATATATATTTATATCGGGTGAAAAGATTGAAAAAGACATCTACTCAATTTATTCCATTTTTTTTGGCAACTGAGGTATTATTTTGTACTTTTACTTGAGTACATAAGTGTGTTGAGTTCTTCACATGAGTAAACATGAGTATCTGTACTTCTACTTGAGTAAAGGATGTGTGTATTTTTGCCATCTCTGCCCATTTGCATACCTGGAGGATTCCAGAGGGATCCTATTATTTTTCATGAGACGTTTTGAACTTACCTAGTCCGCAAACCTACTTTGTATCAGAGAACAACTGAAATCATCTAACCACCTCTACGGCACCTTTAATGTATTGAAGGTAGGCATATTTGGATGCAGAGATTGTCTTTGTCAAGGAATCATTAATTAAATTAAGTGACAAGTTTTTATGAACAGTTTACTGAATGCAAGACTCAGTCGATTTGTTTAAAAGCACAGATTCATTCATCAGTGAAAGCGCTGTGTTTGCTTTGTTTGTAATAATGAGAAGATTCGCGAGTGTGCCAGCTCAGCACTGAAGAAAAATAAATTGGGCTTATTGAGCATGAGTGGATTCTAACTTTATAGCTTGCCCATTGCTTTAAAGAAAACAAAAGATGTGCCTTCCGGAATGCTGTGAAAACGTGCTTTAATAAATAGCGCCATTGGGGTATTAGGCTAAATGTCTCATATTACAGCCTGCTTTAGTGTGAGGGTGTTTTAAACCAGGCCTAACCAAAACACTTGCATAAGTGTAACTAAATATTTTTATCACAGACATAAGCAGTAATTTAATGGAAATGTAAACTGGCAAAACGGGTCTGTATAATTACGAGCAAAAAACAATCTACTTTGTATGTATTTGACAAAAAATGAATAAAGCCCTCATCTAATTATCCTAGTTTATTAAGAATAGGATACATTCTCAGATAGTGTTTTTTTTTTCTTACCGATAAACTTCTGATCAACAGTTAAATTAAGTTTTTTTTAATTTTATACAGTTTTTTTTTTACAGCATCAATGTTGTAATGTAATTAAAATATGTTCAGTTAAATAGGCTTAAGTATTCATTTAGGCTATGTTCACACTGCAGGCAAATGTGGGTAGAATCTGATATTTTCGCCCACATGTGACTGAGGTAATGACCTTCATCTTTTCAATTCAGATTAGTTGTTCCAGTGTAAAACTCTTTTAATTAAGAATAAGCAACGCCATCTCAAAGCAATTCGTAAATTTTGATTTAGTAGCTAATTCCTATGAATTTTTACATACTTATTCATACAATTTGCTCATGCCCCAATGACGATTTGGTTTTGTGCCATGTCTCCTTTTAAAAATAAACATTTTTGTATGATTGAACTTGTACTCGGAAATGAATTAGCCACTAAATTGACAAAATGCAATAAATTAATAAATAAACGCATGAATAAATGATTAAAAATACAAATCACACAGACAGACGTTATAGAAGTTAAATGAATAAATGAAGGCATGAAAAAATTATTTAAAAATAAATACAAACACTACATGTATAGGATAATTTTTTTTCCAGTGTAAAAATAGCAGAACTTGGTCCCAAAAAAAAAAAAAAAAAAAAATATATATATATATATATATATATATATATATATATATATATATATATATATATATAGGATAAAATAAATCTAACAATTTTCCCCAGCAAAAATAGCAAAACTCACAATATGAAAAATATTGAATGAAAATATTACAAATATCTATTAAATGAAGACAATATTAAACACAAATAATAAAAACATACTAAATATTACAAAACAAATACAAACATACATACCTACATAGTATAAAACAAATAATTTTTTCCCTGCAAAAAATAGCAAAACTTGTTCACACACACACACACACACACACACACACACACACACACACACACACACACACACACACACACACACACGCACACACATGCACACGCACACCCACACTTAATACGCTTCTAAAACAACATAACATTAATAAGTTACATTAACAAATAAAAGGTATGAATAAATTACTGGATGATAATGATTAAAAAAGTAAATACAAACATACTACATATATAGGATAAAACAAATCAAAAAAATTCTCAGCGAAAATTGCAAAACTTGCTCACACAAAACACAAAACATAAAAAATATTAAATAAAGATATTACAAATATATATTAAATAAAAATAAAACATAATATTAAAATATATCGAAAATTTAAATAAATATATATAAAAAATAAAAAAATAATAAATTGTAAAAAAATAAATACAAACATACTACATATGTAGGATAACATAAATAGAATATTTTTTCCCCATGTGAAAATAGCAAAACTTGCTCACACAAAAACACACTTACTAAATGTGGATTACAAGCATCGACAAGCCCCTAAATGAAAGTGTCATAAGCAGTCAGAATTAGAACATTATGGTAAGCGGACCATACGTTATGGTGAGATGCTATTGAGTGCTATTAAACTGTTTTTCACTCACCTTTGGCTCGATGGTCTTCTTCTTTAAGACACTTTCCCCCCTCCCACCATCGGCGCTTGAGGATTTCTAATCTGTTGTTTTCCTGTAGCTGCAATATACCTAATGTGATCTCATCTCTAAACGGTGAACCTGCCGGAGAAAAAATAAAACAGGTAGCTTAGCTGGTTGCTAACCTAAACAAAAACGTAAAACCTTAAACCATCTAAAAAGCAAGCTAACTATATTTAAACAAGAGATACAGAAGTGCAGACAAGCTAATGCTAACAATGCTATTTTAATACTGTCAATGCTACACAAACAGTAAACAGATGTTAGCCTTTTACCATTTTTACAGACAGGGACAGTGATAAGAACAGACTCGAAGCAGTTTTGCCCTCATTAGCGCTATGATTGAACATGTCAGAACACAAATGCTAACAGCTAAGATTCTGAATGTCTTAAGTCAACGGATGTCGTGCAAATGAGCTAAATTAGCCAGAGTGTCAGGACGGAAATGAATGTTATGATAGGTTAATTCCAAATTATTTGACTTGTTAGAATAACATCATCCTTCATTAAACATTCCTGTATCACAGCTAATCATGTCACGCTAATAACAATGTGACGTGAGAGGATGTGTTCATCAAATTAATAGACGTTCATTTAAATGAGGCACTGCAGATATGCATTGGAACGGATCGGCTGTCACTGAATGTTATTATTCATTCACCGTGAGTGTGAATTACATTTAGGGTGCATGTTTTAGCAGGGGCGACAAGGTGGCTCAGTGGTTAGTACTGTCACCTCACAATAAGAAGGTCACTGGTTCGAGTCCCTGCTGGGTCAGTTGGCATTTCTGTGTGGAGTTTGCATGTTTTTCCCGTGTTGGCGTGGGTTTCCTCCTTGTGCTTTGGTTGTACAACCCAAATACATGCACTCAGGGACGTAGAAGACATTTTAAAAGTGGGGGGGGGGGCAGTAGTATGAAATCCAAATGTTTACATTCTTAATCAACTATTTCTAAATGGTCTGTCTCTAAAAGGGAGGGGGACGTACCCCTAAACTAAAATGCAGTAATTTATGTGTGAATGAGATTGTATGGGTGTTTCCCTTACTGGTTTGCAGTTGGAAGGGCATCTGCTGTGTAAAACATTCACGAATCGTGATTGCGAACTGAGGAGCGGGGGGTGGTGGGGGGTTGTTGGGAGGAGCGGGGCGTAAGTGAGCATGTTTGGCAGTTTGAGACCCCTGGTCCAAGCTGAAGGAAATATTGTCACAGTTCAACTAAATATTTATTTTAGTATTTTGCTCTGCATTTATCATATCATGTAAGCTCGGAAATATGCAAGACTTCAAAAACACCCTTATTTCAAAAACAAATCATTGGTTCTCTGAAAAACAATGTGACCACAGTGACCACGATTAATTAATTTGATTCAGTCTGTACACAAACATTAATTAGCTTGCAGTAATAAAATGGTTCGCGAATACCTCTGTATAATTAATGCATGTTTGTGTGTGTTAAAACAGGTCGTTTTGCACAAAACAAATATTTTAACTTCTCTACATTTCCATGCCAGAAGGTGAAAACAAAATCCTCACAACATGAATTTAATTACAACTTAGCAATGCATAATACTGATGGTGGCCCTTCAGAACCATGCTGTTATAAATACTAGAATTCTTTTCTATTTTTTAAGACAGAAAAACATGTTAAAAGCAACAGGAAATGAATAAATAAATAAATCAAACCTACTACCTATACATGCTTCTTACTATAGCTTTGAACTTAAGTGAATTTGTTGGTCAATGAGAAGCATGTTTGGCAAATACTTTCAAAGCGAAACGTCCAGTGAGGTGTCAAAACCATGTTCAGATTTTTGCAACCAAGCTCATTCTGATTATGTACCCCTATATACTCTTATGGAGAGTGCCAAATATGTCCCAGGAGCAACATTTTTTTTGCAGTTTTTGTTTTCGCGAAACCAGCAGAGGCCGCTGTTTATGCTTTTTGAGATGTCAAATTTCTCTTGCGAGTACCATTCGCGCCTGCGAAATCCACCAGAGGTCGCTGTTGACTGACTGACTGACTGACTAACCGATCGACTGACCCACCCTCCTCCTTCCACAAACCCAACCGAGTGTGTGTTTTAAAAAGCACCGATTGAACAGTTTCCAATGCCTTCCCTAAACTCAACCGATAGTGTTTTCTAAAGCAATTCCCGACCGTCTGATTTTTACCATGTTTTCAGACCACATTCTCACCCTGTTATTTACTTGTTTATTTTATTTTTTGGCTTTTGTTTTTGTTTTACTAGCTTTCTGGAACCGTTCTTCACCACACTCAAACATCTTAATTGTGGTCAATTCCACTCTGGGTCTCAAGTCCGCCAACTTACGTGGCGAGTTACTGGGAAAACTGGTAACAGCAGAAAAGCCGTCCATAGGGAGGTAAATGGTCAGCTAGTGAGTGTGAAAAGAAACGGCATCATACCGCCCTGTAGCATTCGGTTTAAAGAGGAAATGCAGCCATATGTACCTCTGGCTATATAATTTGTGTTGTCCAAAAAACTATATAGGGGTACGTTTTCAGAATGAGCCTATGTTGGATTTTTGATCCCAAACAGATGACCGTGAATCTGGCTATGCTTCATTATGTGGGATTTTGAACAGTTTATTGCAGTAGTTTGGAAATGAATTAGCCTGTGGGTGCCACTACAAGATTAATGTTCTTTCATTGTCAAATTAACATACCACCATATCTAAGACATACATCGACATAGCTAAATAAGTAGAGTTCAGTACATGGAAATGACATATACCGTGAGCCTCAAACACAATTGTTTCCTTGTTCTCATGTAAATCCAATAAGCGTACAATCTCAATTAAAATATAGGCCAATTACAACAAAACACAGACTGTTACTTTCCACACTGTAGCTTTTTTATGCAAGCACCCCGCAGAATTTGATTCGCCACAACTATTTCCTAGTTTTCTCTCAATTTTTAAGTTTATCTAAACTTGTCTGATTCCTACTATAAAATGAGGAAGACAGTGTGTGAAACAGATCATGTTCTTGTGTGTTCACAATGCAAAATGCAGGATATACAGATTATACATTTATTTAATGCACACCCCGAAGAGTCATATGATCTGTTTAAATGCATCTTTAGCTAGTTTAACATGTATATTGTAAAATTAGCCACATATGTTTGTAATGAGGCAACAAACACATGTGGTCTGTTGAATGTGTTTAAATCATATTTATGCATCGTGTCATACCAGTCAGCTCATTTTTTTTCAGGAGTAAAAGAACGGCAATAAACTTTATTGTACACTTTAAACTTTGTCAACAAGATGTAGATAGTATTAACAAATTATAAGGCATGAAAAAAAAGAGTATGAATGGGAATAATCAACAACTAATCTCTCAAAAAAAGTCAACTCTGGTTTCATGTTTCGCAGTTTTATCCAGTCAGAGGAGGCTGTGATGACACCATCTGCACCCGAGGCTGCTATGAAAGCAGATGGAGGTGTCCATGGCGACCAGCCTCTTCTTGAATGAGCGGATGAGAGAATTTTATCACTTGGCACCACAACTTTTGGAAGGGACTTGAAGAGACGTGTTAGAAGCAGGAGGAGGGAATAAATGTTGCAGCTCCTGGAAGACATGCTATGACCTGGAAATACTCTTTGAAGACGGATGCAGCTTCTGGGGTCTTATTTCAAATCTGGTTATGGGATCACGCGATTATGAGTGTGTGTGGTGATATTTGGAGGACACCTCAGCCTGGTGGTCATGACTGATCTTCCCCGAGGACAGAAGATCAAAAACAGAAAGCAGAACTGGAAATTTCCCTCACCTACTGTAGGTACAAGTTCCCCCCGTTTAAATGTTCTCTCTCTCTCGTACCTCATAATTTTATCAGCTAAAACAAGACTGTATTCATTATTTCTCCTAAAAGATTTGGAGGTTTTTTAGAAACCAAAACCCAAAGGTCTTTATTATTCTTCACGCATCATGGGAGTTTAAGGCAGCCCGTATAACTGTACTGGCACACTGATCTGGCAAGTTCTTCGCATCCAATTCCGCCACTTAAACTCTCTAGTGCTACCGGCAGTTTTTAACTAACAACTTTTCCACAGAATAATTTGGACATCAGTACTACTGTAGCTTAAAATAAAGTAATAGTTTTTTTCTGTTAAGGCACTCATCCTCTGGCTGTACAAAATGTGATTTTTTTTCTTCAGTGAAAAACTAAAGCAGATTTTTGGGTAAAGAATTATTGGTGATTCACAAAAGGCAAGTCAGTCACCTGTTTTTAAATAAATATAGTATGTTATAGGCAGATTCAGAGATATAAATATCCACATAAGCAAAGCAAAACTGTGTCCTAACAACAGGTGGCATGACAAGATTCCAGCAACAAGCTATTTGTCTGTCGGCACCAAACACGACATGGCATGACAGAAACAGTTAAATACCAGCCACTGCACTCCCAACAACAACAACTCTTTAACATCATTAATTGGCTACTAAGTGCCTTTTATGGTTTGTACTGGGTCACATTCTGACTTACACTTTCACACTAGCCTGCTAGTTATTTTATTTTTAAGATCTGAGGTAAACTATCTGCTGCTGTTTTCAGTTGTATGGTAATTAATACCATGTAAAATGGTATTTAAACTCAAACTGGTAGCATTTATCACTGAATAAAGCACATGATCTGTACCTGAGGGGCAGCACGGTGGCTCAGTGATTAGCACTTTCGCCAGTGTAGCATTTAGGAAGTGTTATTGCAGAGTAGAAATGCTCACAACAGCATTAGCTATGTGCAAGTGTCACCTTCTGGTCCTACACCACCCAACCCGCTCTTTCCTGGGATCGAATCTGTGACTCTTTGTATGGGAGTCGGTTGATCTAACATGGAGGCTAAAAACAATGTCCCATAGCAACTGTCGCTAAAGCACCTTTTTCGGGTTCAGAGGAGTGAGGTTTACCGACACAGTACTTCACTAGCTGGCCTCTGTTACACTCAGCCTCCTAAATCTCACTCCCATCTGGGTCATGGCACCAGTGTAACCTAGTCCTACACAACCCAACCTGCTCCGGGATCGAATCAGCAACTCTTTGTATGGAGGTCAGCTGCTCTAACCAGGGGGCTAAAGACCATGGCCTCTTAACGGCTGTTGCCAGAGCACCTCTAGAGGTCAGAGAAGTGAGGTTTCACTCAGCCTGTCAAACCTCACTCTCATCCAGGTCACTAATGTAACCCGCTGTTCCTACACCATCTCCGAGCTGGGAAAGAACCAATGACTCTTCGCATGGGAGTCGGTTGCTCTAAGAAAGAGGCTAAAGACGATGATCTCTAGCATCTGTTGTTAGAGCACCTTTTTGGGTTGAGAGAAGTGAGGTTAACTTGCAGAGCCTTTCACTAGCTGGCCTCCGTTACACTCACCCCCCTAAACCTCACTTCCATATAGGTCACGGCACCAATGTAACCTGGTCCTACACCACCAAACCTTCTCCGGGATCAAACCGCCAGCTCTTTGTATGGGGTCCAGCTGCTTTAACAAGGAGACTAAAGACCATTGCATTGAGCATCTGTTGCTAGAGCACCTTTTCAGGTTCAGAAGAGTGAGGTTTACCTGCACAGCACTTTACTAGCTGGCCTCTGTTACATTCACACCCCTAAACCACACCATCCGGGTCACGGCACCAATGTAACCCACTGGTTCTACACCACCCAACCCACTCTGAGCTGGTATCAAACCGGCGACTCTTCGCATGGGAGTCGGTTGCTTTAAGAACGAGGCTAAAGTCCTTGGTCTCTAGTGTCTGTTGTTAGAGCACCTTTTTGGGTTGAGAGAAGTGAGGTTTACTTGCAGAGCCCTTTAAGAGCTGGCCTCCGTTACACTCACCCTCCTTAACCTCACTCCCATTTAGGTCACGGTATCAATGTAACCTGGTCCTACACCACCATACCTTCTCCGGGATCAAACGGCCAGCTCGTTGTATGGGGGTCAGTTGCTTTAACAAGCAGACTAAAGACCATTGCCTTGAGCGTCTGTTGCTAGAGCACTTTATCGGGTTCAGAAGAGTGAGATTGACCTATACAGCACTTCACTAGATGGCCTCTGTTACATTCACACCCCTAAACCTCACTCCCATCCGGGTCACGGCACCAATATAACCCACCGGTAATACACCACCCAACTCACTCTGAGTTGGTATCGAACCGGCGACTCTAAGCATAAGAGTTGGTTGCTCTAACAACAAGGTAAAGACCATGGCCTCTAGCATTTGTTGTCAGAGCACCTTTTCGGGTTCAGAGGAGTGAGGTTTACCTGCACAACACTTTATAGGCTAAGGTATGGGCTTTAGGGTTCGATACTCACTCGATGCAGAAATATAAATCAGGCTTTACTCTCCAGAAAACTGCTATAAATAATCAAAATATTGTCAAAATAGCCATTTACAAGAGTGTTTACATTCAGATAGATACTTTGATAAGATCTCAAGATGATGTTCATTGCTCCCAGTGTTTCCATTTCTTTCAAATTAAATCTGAACCATTTTTAATCCTCCCACAGGTTTCCTCAAATCCTCCCGAAATTTCATCAGAAACCCCACAGACCATGTCAGTAAAGGGCTATTAAAAGCTCTGTGATACGCTACACCGCTCAGCTGTAACACATCAAAGACTCTAAACAAGGTAAGGTCATATTTGTGCAATTCTTTAAGCGACTGACATGTATTGTTGCCAGAACAAGACATGTCACAACATTCACAATTGAAGCTCTTTTCCTCTGTCTTGAAATGACAAAAGCAGCAGGTCGGGATCTAATTCCAGGACAAAAAGCGATACAATTATGAAGCATTTTCAGTCACTCTTGATAAATTGTTCTGACAACAGTATTTTGAGTTTGGATTTTGCGTTTCAGAAATTTGCTTATCAGCGGCAAAAGGAGGTGGAAAAATATAACACAGCTATTAGCTTGCTTTAGAAGTCTTTGGGAATTGGAGCAGTGGGCCTACTGTGTGAAATCACCACATGACGCCAATAACACTTTTACAGCCTATTTCACTTTCACAGCTGGACATAAGCTTCTTAAATTTTGACTTGACAAGCCCCTTTGCACTCAAGTCCAGAAATCCCTTCTACAATATTCCTCTGCATACAGTAGCTCAATAGTGGCCATTATCTCACCCGGCGCGATTCTTTAGCCATGATTAAGACCCCATGTTTTCTCTTTTCCAGCCCTCTTCATTGTAAAACACACTAGTGAGCGGTAAAACCCTCAATGCTAAACATACATTCCAGAATTGTTCTCGATATCCTTGACTGTCAAGGAATGATTGCTAGAAATGTCAAAGACAAAGTCAGAACTGCTGTTAATCAAGCGCAGTGGACAGGGCAGTCAGAGATGTGCAACATCAGAGATGCTATCACTGTGACAGTGGCTTTCTTGTGTGATCATCAATGTTTATTTTTTTTTTAAAAGGATGGTTCACCTAAAAATTAAATTTCTGTCATCATGTGCTAATTTTTCCATGTGTTTCACAGCTGTTTTTTCTATTCGAGAGACCTCATCGTTCTCGAGTCACATAAATGATTTGTTAAAAATGAAGGAAATGTTCAAGAAGGACCCATCACTAGTACTCAGCATATTATAAAGCATACTCACCCAAAGGCATGCCGATGCCGTAGCCCTTGGTGTCCAGCAGGCCTCCTATCTGCGTGAGGTTGCAGTTGAGACGTCGGTGGTACTCGTTCATGGTGCTCTCCAGAAGAAAGGCGTACTTGGAGTTTAAAACCCGCGCGATGCCCTCCTCTGTGCTCTTCACAAACACGCTGGGCTGCTTGGAGTACATGTAATTCCACATGCGCTGATACGTCTGATAGCGCGAGTTCTGAGGGCGCAGAGAAGGTTTGTTTTCAAAGAAGAAAGCCATTGAAAAAGACAGAGACAGTAATTGACATAGTATTAGAACAACTCAGGCTCATTCTGAAAACATACCTCTATATACATTTCTGGAGAGCACCAAATAAGTCCCAGGAGATATGTTTTTTTGCAGTTTTTGTATGTCGCGAATCTGCCAGAGACCACAGTGTATGCTTTTTGAGATCTCACATTTCTCTCGTGATTGCCATTTGCGCCTGCTGTTCTCGCGTAAATCCACCAGGCGGCTGTCAACTGATTGACTGACTGATCAACTGACCCACCCTCCTCCTTCCCTAAACCCAACCAATAGTGTTTTCAAAAGCACCGACTGACTCGCCCACAAACTTCCCTACACCCAACTGACAATTTTAAAAAGTAATCCAGAAAAAGAAAAGCCACTGCCTGATTTTTACCACGTTTTCAGATTTTACCACATTCTCACCCTGTTATTTACTAGTTTATTTTATTTTTTGGCTTCTGTCTTTCTTACCCGCTTTCTAGAACTGTTTCTCACTGTACTCGAACCTTGTCATCGTGGTCAACCCCTCTCTGCATCTCAAGTCCACCGACTTACGAGGCAAGCCCTTGAGCAAACTGTTAACAGCGGGAAAGCCGCCTATACGGAGTTAAGTGGTCAGCTGGTAAGCGCGAAAAGAAAAGGCAGCATACTGCCCCGTAGCGTTCCTTTTAAAGACAAAAAGCAGCCATACGTACCTCTGGCTACATAATTCGCGATCTCCAGAAATGTTTTTAGGGCTACGTTTTCAGAATGAGCCTATGTTGTATTGGAGGGTGGCGGAAAAAAAAAAAATTCAAAAAGTAAAATTATATTTGAGCAATTCCAACGTTATGGATTTGACGTCTGCAGTAAAAACTCAAAACATAAATTCTCAGAGAAAGTAGATGTTAACATTATTTTCATAATATTACTATTCATATTTTCCAAAAAAATAAATAAACAATAACCCAAAGTTATGGGATCAGAAAAATATTAATCTGTAAACATTTTTTTTAGCATTTTTTAGTGTTATGGATGTGACCAAAAAAGTTAGCCGGGGTACAGTCGACAAAATACTTTGTAGAAATTCTGTAAATTAAACTGCATAACCCAAAAGAAATAAAGCCAATAAAAAGGACAAGAGTTGGCTCTCTACAGCAGTGGTCCCCAACCCCTGGGACGTGGACTGATACCGGTTCGTAAATCAATTTGTACTGGGCCTCACTATAAAGGCCGAGTGTAAGACCCACGAACTGCCAACGAATGGATTCGCAACCTATTTGTCAACAAATCAGGTGAATCCAGCATGTCTATTCAAGAAGAAGATCAACTGCTGGAGATAGTAAATGACGGTGGGGACTACTCACATATCATGTCTTTTCCACTCGCAAGTTCGTTATTTCCAATGGAGGTGCGCATATTGGGAATCCCAGTTGAAAAAATCTTAACTTTTCAGAACGCCTTGAGCGCACCATGAGTCATGTGATAAGAACTGACCACGCAGCTTCATACTTTGGTTGGAATACACATTTCGCTAGACTAATTACTTCAGAAAAACACAGAATACCCAAACCCTGCAGTGCTTTGTAATTTTCTCCATAAATAAAACTTGTATCAGAGTTACAGCAATGTTTTGTCAGCTTGTCATCCTTTGAGATCCCCCCGATATGGGGTAAAATTGTGATAAAAGGGTTGGGGACCACTGCTTTATTGAACAAAAAATATTGATTTTATTTTATTTGAAATGTTTGCATTTATGAGAAAAAAAAGCTTTGTTGTGGATGAAACACTACCCAGTTACATGTTTGCATATGATGGATGTGAAATTGCCACTTGAGTGACTAAGTCATTGTTTTCAAACTGTTATATTTAAAGTATTTTTAAAGGTCCCGGGAAGTGCTTTAAAATATGCATTGTTATTGGATGTTTGACATAATCTCAACCGAAACACGATGAGAGGGTGTGACATAGAGTAGCTCCTCCCCTTTTTAAAAACAGCCAATAGTAGCTTGTTTTACCACAGCTCTGCCAGTGAGAGGGGTTGAGCTCAAGCGCATCAAGTGAAAAGCAAATGAGAAGCGCCTTGAAGAGGGTGGGGCACGTCAGACACTAGAGAGCATTTGATTGGTTATGATGTGATGAGAAACTGTAGTGTGAGGTGATGTGACACTAACATTTAAATATTTTTATTTTAATTTCAAGAGATCTTTAAAGTACTTTAAACTTACATGAAAAAATGTAGAAACGATTTTGGTAAAAACGTCATTTTTTTGTGGCAAGGTTGACATTTTTATGGACTTGCTCATTTGCTGTGACATGAGGACAGGTGTGTGTATAAAGACACATTTTATTAGCAGCCACTGAGAGTGAACTAGATTAAGGTAACAGATTGAGAGAAGGCAAAAATGTAGATGGTTAATACATGATTAATGTAACAGGGGAAGTGAACTTGGCCTCGGGTGTGAATATGGATGTGGCTGTGAGTCAGTAGGCCAACTGCTTACTGCCATAAACAGGATATGATGCATTGTGACATTAGTCAAAGCACTTGCACAGACTAGTCGATCAATTCTAGCACTAATTACAGCACTTGGTTTGTTTCGACCAGTCATGTGTCACATTACTTTAGATGCACTTCTTGTATGTTTAATGAGAAAATAATTTTTTTTGTTATGGTATAGTTTTTCAATTACTAATTTAAATGATTTATATTACACTCAAAAATGACGTTAGCTGTTTATTCAAACTACTTATTTTAAAATGAACTGAGCCAGCTTAATTCCTTCATGTTGTATCAACACAAATGGATTGTATGGAACCCAGCGTTTATTTACAGTGTAGATAACTACTGATCCTCAGAATAGCTGACTACTTTTCTGGGGAAAATGTGTAGAAATGATGTACACACAAAAAAACAATCTAGCTGGCTTTACTTTTTTAATTGAACCAAATAAACTTTTCTAGTCATCCCAACTAACATCAAACTGACTAAACATATCAAGTTAAGTTTTGTACAACTTAAAAAAGGGTTGGAACCTGATTAGCTTATTAAAATAAGTTAAAGCAACATAAAAAAATTCTTGACTTTTTGATTATTAAATGTGCACAGTATTTACAGCTGTCTACAAGCAAATCCAGAAGGAATGGTTTGGGGTTAAATCTTTTTTGAGAAAATAAATGACTTTAAATTATTTTGGAATAAGGCTGTAACATAAAATTTTTTGAAAAAACATGAAGCACTATGAATACTTTCCAGAAGCACTGTGTATATATATATATATATATATAAACAAATCTGGACCCGGAAACATTATTTCATATATACTTAACAAGCAAATTAAATCAATCAAACATCAGACTAAAGAAATTTATAAACTTTTTTTTATACAAGATTTAGATTAATATTTCAAATAACCGATGTTCTATTGTAAGTTTCTACAATGAAAAAAATATATACTGTATATACAGTCTATGCGATTTCTGGAGAAATTACTATGAAAAATTATTCTAGAGCACCAAATCAACATGTGACTGAATATGAACCAAACGACACAAGTAATGACTTCATAAAATTTAGCTTTTTTCACAGGAATAATTTACACTTGAATAGAAACTCTGAATAGAATAAAATAAATACAGCTTTGGTCGGAAGAGAAGACACTTCTTTCAAAAATATTAAAAACCTTCCTGACCCAAAACTTTTAATAAGTACTGTATAAACACTGCTGGTTTTATATATATATATATATATATATATATATATATATATATATATATATATATATATATATATATATATATATAAAACATACAGTTGAGTCAGAATTATTAGCCCCCCTGAATTATTAGCTCCCTCCTGTTTATTTTTGTCCCCAATTTCTGTTTAACAGAAAGAAGATTTTTTTCAACACATTTCTAAACTAAAATTTGGCAAATCATTGTTTAATGATGGGTTGTTCTGTAGACAATTGGAAAAAAAAATAGCTTAAGGCGGTTAATAATACTGACCCTAAAATCTTAAAAAAAATGTAAAACTGCTTTTATACTAGCCAAAATAAAACATATAAGACTTTTTGCAGAAGAAAAAATATTATAGGACATGCTGAGAAAATTTCCTTGGTCTGTTAAACATCATTTAAGAAACATTAAAAAATATAAAAATAAAAAATCCCAGGATGGTAAGAGCAGAGTGTGTGTAGAACTTTGTGAATGAGTTTCGTTTTTGAGGAAATCTGAAGTTCTGCCTGCACAGATTCTATGTGGGCCTGCATATGAGTCACCAGTCTAACAACTGCTGTAAACAGGAGGTGATGTTATATGACATTACACTAGCACAAAGTGCAAGCCAGAGAAAAATAATCTCACACACAAACAAGGACATGCGTACCATGAAGAAGGTCATTGTGCTTCCTCCTTGAATTGTCCCATACTGGATGTTGGTCTGATCGGCCAAGTCTTCAGCGGATTCGATCGGCACCTCCATCCTCTGAACCGTCAGAAAAGCGGCAAGGTTTGCAGTGTACGAGGAAATGATGATCAGCGTGAATGCCCACCTGTGCCATACACATACAGACATGTTATTGTTGAGAAATATTACAGCATGTACAGTTGAAGTCAGAATTATTAGCCCCCCTGATTTATTAGCCCAATTAATTTTTTTCTCCAATTTCTGTTTAACGGAGAGCAGATTTTTTCAACACATTTCTAATCCTAATAGTTTTAATAACTCATTTCTAATAATTTATTTTGTCTTTGCCATGTTGACAGTAAATAATATTTGACTATATAATTTTCAAGACACTTCTATGCAGCTTAAAGTGATATTTAAAGGCTTAACTACGTTAATTAGATTAACTAGGCAGGTTAGCGTAATTAGGCAAGTTATTGTATAATGATGGTTTGTTTTGTAGACTTTCGAAAAAGATTTAAGCGTAAAGGGGCTAATAATTTTGTCCTTAAAATGGTGTTTAAAAAATTAAAAACTGCTTTTATTCTAGCCTAAATAAAACAATTATGACTTTTTCCAGAATAAAAAATATTATCAGACATACTGTGAAAATGTTCTTAAACTGTTAAACATAATTTGTGAAATATTTTAAAAAGAAAAAAAAAGTAAAGGGGGGCTTATAATTCTGAATTCAACTGTAGATACTTTAGAGACAGATGTGTTAGGTCAGACTGGGGTGAGAAAATATGCCGACACATAAAACAACACTTCACACAAATAACCAAAGCTGTGAAGTCAAACAGATGAACCTGGTTTGATCAAATGCAAAATAGAAAACTATTAAAAATTCATTATTATGGATATAGTGTTTGTTAACACAAGGTATGATGACTGAATAAAAAAAATCAAATAAAAGAGACAAAAACAGCATACGTATACATCAGTTAGTCTAAGCACCAATTCATTAATTCATTTCCTTCGGCTTAGTCCCTGATTATCAGGGGTCGCCAACTATTCCACCATGTTTTTTTTGCTGCGGATACCCTTCCAACTGCAACCCAGTACTGGGAAACACCCATTTACACACATTATCTAAAGCTAGTTTATTCAATTCACCTGTAGCGAATGTGTTTGGACTTGTAGGGGAAACTAGAGCACCCAGATTAACCCACCCACACCAACACGGGGAGAAGATGCAAACTCAAACAGAAATGCCAACTGACCTGGCCAGGACTCGAACCAGCAATCTTCTTACTGTGAGGCAACAGTGCTAAACACTGAGCCACCGTGCCACCCCTAAGCACCAATTCTCACTATGAAATAGTGGATTATTATCTGCTGGTTATTAAGATATTGGTTGTATATTAGTATTTATAAAGTGCATATTCTGCTTATTCTACATCCCTAATCCTGTGTAATATCTTAACCTACTGTAACTAATTATTTAATAACTATTAATAAGCGCTATTAATAGTGATAATTTTATGTTATAATAAAGTGGGACCCCTGTTCGCAGACAGGTCACATCCAAAACAGCATAACTTGTCATAAATCTGTCATAAACATGATTGTCATGAGGACTAAATAATTGTGTCATGAATATTTTTCTTTCAGTGGAACAATATGTATTTGTCATTAAACATTGTGAGTGAGAATGACTCACTTTATTGAGTGTTAGGACTCCATCAGGATTTTATACCAGCATCATTAATATTTAGCGACATTTGATTACACTTAAATCACATCTGATTTGCACTTTTTAAGTTGATGTCAAAAAAAAAAATTAATGACATTATTTTAAAATTCATTCTTTCATTCATTTTCTTTCAGCTTAGTCCCTTATTTATTAGTAGTCGCCACAGTGGAATGAACCGCCAATTATTCCAGCATTTGTTTTTATGCAGCGGATGCCATTCCAGCCACAAGCCAGAACTGGGAAACACTCATAAACTCTTGCATTTACACACTCAAAACTTTTTTGGTTTTACCCAATTCACCTGTATCGCAAGACGATAAACGTTTTCAAGGTATCCGGCTTTTTGGAAAAGTCAGGGTTCTCAAACCGTCAAAATGTTCTGCTATACCGTTCCTAAGGTATGTGTAAGATTTTTTATTTAGATTTATTTGCCCTCGAACTTTAATTATATTGTTCAATTAAAATATTTTTGGTCAAATAAAAGATTTTTTCTAGAGTCATCCACCATAATTTTGGGGCTTAAAAGTATCAGTTTTGGCACCGGTACCGTTTTAAAAGTATCGATTTAGCACTGGTATCAAAATAACCCCAAACGATACCCAACCCTAGAGAAATATATACATTTTTAAAAGAAAGCATATTAGTGTGGACATAGCCTAATGACAGAATGACACTTAATGACAGTTGTCCATGCAATCATGTCTCACGATTATAAAGGTTTCATGACCTTTATAACTTAACTACGCCCACACGGAATCTGCGATTCCAAGACAAGATTTTTAGCTCATCATTGAGTCTGTGTTTTACTTGTGTAAATGTGTGTAAATTTAAATTTGTTCAGTTTTTAAATTAATTTCACTAATATCATGATATAATAATAGTAACATTAAGTGCAATATACTTTGTTAAGGGCGAGGCAGTGGCGCAGTAGGTACTGCTGTTGCCTCACAGCAAGAAGGTCGCTGGGTCGCTGGTTCGAACCTCGGCTCAGTTGGCGTTGGCGTGGAGTTTGCATGTTCTCCCTGCCTTCGCGTGGGTTTCCTCCGGGTGCTCCGGTTTCCCCCACAGTCCAAAGACATGTGGTACAGGTGAATTGGGGAAGCTAAATTGTGCGTAGTGTATGAGTGTGTGTGTGGATGTTTCCCAGAGGTGGGTTGCGGCTGGAAGGGCATCCGCTGCATAAAAACTTGCTGAATAAGTTGGCGGTTCATTCCGCTGTGGCGACCCCGGATTAATAAAGGGACTAAGCCGACAAGAAAATGAATGAATGAATGAATAGTTTGTTAAGTAATATTTTTTGTCTGTTTAACAAATGAGTGTATTTGCATTGTAAACATAATTTTTTTAACATTATTTTTAATTTCATATATTATTAATTTCATATAAGTTTTTAGTTACGATACTCCCAAAATTATTCCGCATAAATCCGCAGATATTTTTACAGAATTCTCCTTATAACCTATGAAGGTTTTCATATCTTATGAACACTTGAGTCAAGTAGTGATACTAACAAACCTATCATCTGCTTTTAAAACCTAATAACGGAATCTTCCCAATGCCAAACTTTTGAACGAAGGTGCTTATTAGCTTTGCTCCAAATGCTGATTAACGTTGACTAAGGATTTTCAGTAGGACGTTTGAGAGCCCTTCAAACACAAGCATGTGAATCACGTCCAGATGAAGGAAGTCTTCAGAAGCCTTCAGCGAAAGAGCTTTCAAGAGAGCTGAAAACTTTTCTCAAGAGGCCGCCCTCCAAAAAAACGCACAAACACACAGATTAGTTGCATGTCATTTAGTAAAAGCTCTTTATCAAAAATTAAAGTAGACCAATTGCAGACATGCGTCCCCCAGAGCATCCCGGAGACAGCGAGCAGATAGACGAGCGCTTTTCTGGGTCACCCCTGTGTGGGATTAAAGTTGCATCTATTGTGCTTATTCACACCGCAGATGATTAAACGCTCAGCTTCCGCCGCATGCTCAGATCAAATCATTTCAATTCCACTGTTGCTCTTCCTGAAAGTGTCTGACTCAAATGACCCTAACAGCAAGACGCAGGACACAAATTGAAAAGATGGAAGCGAAGACGGCTTGACTTGATAACAAACACTGCACAATAAAGGAAGACAGAAAGAAGCTTCGTGAGATGAGGTGAGAGACTAATCTGAAAATACACTGATGCTGTGCGTCTGTACACAAAACAAACATGCCCGAACATCATCAACACACTTTACACTTGCAATAAATGTGAAGAGACTGTTAATGGTCCTGTTAATGGTCTCTTTGGACAGAACAGATTTTCGACGCATGTTGAATTGAAATCATGCATCCCCATGTGTGAAAATCTGCTCTGCGGAAGATTTGCACAGAGAATAGGTCCAACCTAAAATGTCCAACCTGTTTTCATCTTCATCATCCTGCTAATGTAGATGTTGGACTGAAGCAGCTGATATTCATTTACAATGAGGAAGGGCAGAGGAACTACTGAGAGATTTCAGCTGCTGTCTGAGCTTTTCCTGCCTCTCTACATCCTTCCTTTCTTCATGTGTTCAATACTTTTTCCTGTGTCATTTCATTTTATTCTGCATAACTTTTATGCAAACTAACTAGAATTGTTCTCTTTTCATATACTGTATGGATTTCTTTGGTTGTTTCCAAGTCAACAGTCCTTTAGAAATAGCACCTTTAAAAAAATGTTTTCTGAGAAAAATGGTGTTGTGTTCAATACTTATTTCCCCTCCTGTAATTTACTTTGCTTATCATTATTTTAAAACTTGTGTGTATTTATTGCAAAGGAAAAAAGAGACAATTTAAAAAATGTCAAGTGTTCAAGTATTGTGTTAACACTATAAAAAGTAAAGAGAAACAATACAGAGTTGAAAGCTGCTAAAATCCAATCTTAACTACTAGAGCAGTGGTTCTCAAACTGTGGTACGTGTACCACCAGTGGTAACAGGCTTCCTTCTAGTGGTATGTGGAGAAATGAAATATGTCATGTACATGCTACACACATGCAAAAATGATGTTATAATATGCCATATATGACATATAGCCTATATTTCTGAGGTTATCTGCCACGTTTTTTTAACTGTGCAGAGGTGTAGCTGTATTACTGGGCCTACTACGCTATTGTATTTCAATACTGCTCATTTTGGTGGTACTTGGAGAGACAATTTTTTTCTAAGGTGGTACTTGATGAAAAAAGTTTGAGAACCACTGAACTAGAGATTCGTCTAATTTGAACTCCCTCTGTGTTATCTTAGGAGTATTGTAATATTATAGATTTCATTTCATATTTTTAAGTTGCTCTTATTTACAGTTATTTTTTCATCCTATTAATATACTTTTAATGTTCCAAATTGCGTTTCATATAATACATAGTTTTTTTTTAAATAAATAAATACACAAACAAATAAATATATGCTTCATTTGTAAAATATTTTTGGAATTTAGAAGGCATTTAAAGCTGAAAAACAAACACTTTATTTCCTTTCTTTTCCTTTCTTTCTATATACATACATACTTAAAAAAATGAATTTTATATTTAAATATATAAATATATTTTTATTAATATTGCATTTCTATTGATGTATTAATATATATATATATAT